GCACGCGGACGCTTCTTGGGCTGACGACCAGGCTACGCAGCGGTCGTCACAGGGTTACACCTTCGGCCTTGGTTCCGGCTCTGTCTCGTGGCGGGCTACTCGCTCGTCTTCTGTTATCGGCTCCAGTTGTGAGGCTGAGATCTACGCCGGGGCTATGGCTGCTCAGGAGCTTCGCTGGCTCACCTACCTGCTGACCGACCTTGGAGAGCCGCCTCGTTCTCCTCCAGTCCTGTACGTAGACAACAAGGCCATGCTGGCCTTGTGTCGAGAGCAGCGACTGGAGCACAGGACAAAGCACATTGCTCTCCGCTACTTTCTTGCTCGTGAGCTGCAGCAGCGTGGACAGTTGCGACTTGCGTACGTGGCCTCTGAGGCCAACACTGCTGATGTCTTCACCAAGGCACTTGCTCCTTGTGATCATCAGCGTTGCTGCACGCAGCTGGGTCTTGTGCCTGTCTTGCCTCACTTGCTCAATTCTTGACCTTGCTTGTACCTTGACCTATATATACTCTTGCTCTTGCTTGCTAGACTCTTGTATATCTCTATATATGATCTTGCATGCGAACTGGCCTTGTGGCCCTTGACCTTGCGCTCGGAATGTGTGGTGACTTTGTGATCCACCCTGAGCTTTGCTTTGCTTTGCTTTGCTTGACTGGTCTTGTGACCCCTTGTTCTCCCCCACTTTGCCTATGGGGGTGTGTCAGAACATTATAGCTTACTTATTTGTGTAGGCTATAGTGGGGTATACCATAGGGGGTACAGCCCAATTAGGGTTTCATATTTGTACTCACTTCATTCATAGTTCATCCATTCTCGTTCGCTTCTTCTCAGGGTACAGCGACGGATTGCCCGGTACTGATCTACGGGAAAATACAGGGAGCAGAAGTGAAGATCTTCATTGACGGAGGAGCAAGCCACAGCTTAGTTAATACCGCAACCGCACGAAAATTACAGTTAACGCTTAACCGATGTTTACCTGAGATAGATGCACGCTTAGTCGACGGCACGCCCCTGTCCATACGGGAAAAGGTGGAGCGCGTAAAGGTCCGTTGCGGGGGGAACTTCGGGTTTACACAGGAAATGCTCGCGACGACACTGGATGGGCACGACATTTTATTGGGACGTGATTGGCTGCGACGGTACAACCCACGGATCGACTGGACGACGGGGAGCTGCACAGTACGGAGTAGTGGTAACTGGGTCGTTCTACCTCGCTGGCAGCCACCCGAATCTTCGACGGTCCAAGTCAACGCTATCACGATGAAACGGGCTGTCGCTGCAAGAGCTGACGTGTACGCAGTGGATATCGCACTCGTAGAAAAAGATGAGCAGCCGGGTGATTTGGAGAAACTGCTGGCAGCTGTACCGATCGAACTACAGGCACTACTGAAATTGTTCCCGGGGATATTTCCGGATGATTTACCACAGGGACTGCCACCTCAGCGGGCGCACGACCATAGGATCGAGCTAGAACCGGGGGCACAGCCAACTGTACAGCGCCAATTTCGACTGGCACAGCCCGAGCTCGACGAGTTAAGGAAGCAGTTAGATTACCTGTTAGAGAAGGAGTTTATCCGACCGAGCTCGTCACCGTTCGCCGCACCGATACTGTTCACACCGAAAAAAGACGGAGGGTTCCGCATGTGCATCGACTACCGAGCGCTTAACAGGGTAACAGTCAAATCGCGATACCCCATCCCCCGCGCCGACGAACTGATCGACCAATTGCGAACAGCACGAGTCTTTTCGAAAATAGATTTACGGGGAGGTTACCATCAGATTCGGGTCGAACCATCGGACTGCGCCAAAACAGCATTTAGGACTAGGTACGGGTCATTCGAGTATACAGTAATGCCATTCGGGCTGACGAACGCGCCTGCGACATTTCAGATGACCATGAACGAGGCGTTTAGACCACTTTTAGATAAATGCGTGATAGTTTACCTGGACGATATTCTAGTTTACAGCCGGGATAAGCAGCAGCACTTAGTGGATCTTGAAGCGGTTTTTAAAGTTTTGGAGGAACATCGGCTACTCACCAAGGGCTCCAAGTGCGAGTTTTTTCGGGACAGACTAGAGTTTTTGGGTCACGTCATTTCGGAGGCTGGGGTTGAGATTGACCCAAAGAAGCTAGATACTGTAAAAGCGTGGCGCCCCCCGACGAACATCACGGAACTGCAGAGTTTTTTAGGTTTTGTTAATTACGTTCGACGGTTCGTGCCCGACATGGCACGTTTAACAGCCCCACTCACTGATTTACTGGGGTCGCTTTTACGTGGGGGGAGAAAGAGCATGCTGCCTTCTCTGCCCCGAAAAACGTTCTCTGTTCACCACCCGTTCTACGCATCGCTGATCCCCACCGCCCTTTCGAAGTGGTTACCGACGCCAGTGACATTGCCATTGGAGCTGTACTGTTACAGGACTTCGGCGACGGCCTCCAACCCATCGCCTACGAATCACGCAGACTACATCCGCCTGAGCGAAATTACCCGATACACGACCGCGAAATGCTCGCGATCGTGCACGCATTCAAAGTGTGGCGCTGCTACTTGACCAGCGCAGGCGTGACAGTACGGAGAGACCATCGATCTCTACAGTACCTCCGCGCACAGCCCCACCTCAACCCACGACAAATTCGATGGCTCGATTTCCTCGAGTCGAATTTTCACTATACGGTCACATACAAAAAAGGAGCCTCGAATATTTCTGGCGCACTGACCCGCCCCACTGCCCAGATCCACGCGATACTACTCGCCCAGACCAGCCCACTACTGACAGGCCTATTTACCCACGGATATCAAACAGACCCGTTCTTTACAGGAGGCAACTCACAGCAATTCGCAGCGGCAAAAGGAGTCTATTACGTAAAAGCTGGAACCGACCGCATCTGGGTACCAGGATACACGCTACTGCGGGAACTACTGCTATAGGAAGCACACGACGGAGTTACCTCGGGACATTTCGGGGTAGAAAAAACACGGCAGCAGCTGCAGCGGTATTACTACTGGCCAGAAATGTTGACTGATGTGCAACGACACGTGGCATCGTATCCCACTTGCCAGCTCATGAAGTCAAGCAGGAAGCGGCCGGCGGGACAATTGCAACCCATCCCGCCCCCAGAGCGTGCTTGGCAGCAGGTGACGATGGATTTTGTCACGGGGTTACCAGCTGGGGCGAGTGGGAATGACGCGATCCTGGTCGTCGTCGATCGACTAACGAAGATGGCTCATTTCGCAGCATGCAGGAAATCAATCACAGCCGAGGAAACCGCCCGACTCTTCATCACCACCGTCGTTCGACTGCACGGGATACCCGCATCGATCATCAGCGACAGGGACACGAAATTTACAAGCAACTTCTGGCGGAACCTGTGGGAGCAGTTCGGCACACGCTTACAGTTCAGTTCATCCTATCACCCCGAAACCGACGGACAGACGGAACGGACAAATCAGACCATGGAGCAGCTGATTCGAGCCACGTGCGACGATCCGAATACGTGGGAACAGCAGCTGCCACTCATCGAGTTCGCATACAATAACGCACCATCAGCCACGACGCAACAGTCGCCGTTTTACTTGAATTACGGACAGGACCCAATAGTACCCATGACACCGAATCCCGACAACCCCGTCCCACGAGCACAACAATTCGCCGAGATTCTGCAAGCAGCACGGACCAGGGCAGCAGAAGCAATCAAAAAATCAAACATCATCGCTAAACGCAACGCCGATCGCCATCGCATACCCATTACTTATCAGCCCAACGACCTCGTTTTACTCGACACTCAGAACCTCCGCCTGCCAATCACTCCAAAACTCAGCCCTCGATACTGTGGGCCATTTCGAATCAGTCACATGGTTATGCCAGTCACCGCGCACCTCCTTCTCCCTGCTGACTGGTACGTCAGCCCTTCGTTCCACGTTAGCTTACTTCGCCCTTACGTGCCATCCACCAGCCAACTCCCACGACATCGACCCACCAGCATGACACGACCACCAACCGAACCAGTCATCACCCCCGACAAGATCCTGAGCCACAGAGTTCGCGACCCTCGAGGAGCCCGCAAAGTAGAGTTTCTGATCCGCTGGAAAGATCGTACCCCCACCGAGGACAATTGGGTTCCCCTGGAGAAAGTTGAAAATCACCCCGTCGTCACCGACTACCTACGTAGCCGCAATTTCCGAGACATCCACGCGCTTTCATAAGGAGGACCTCCTTAGGAGGGGGGGTAGTGTAAGGAAATTCCCTTTTCCTTACTTCACGTCCCTGCTCAACGCGTACATCACTGTAGCACCTCAGTCAGCACCGTTACCACTCGCAACCATCGCATCATTCATCATCCCGCCATTTTCGCACATCGCATCCCGACCTCACGGCTCGGCTGGTAACCCGCGCTCCGGGCCTACGCTTCGACACTTTCCCAACCTCAGTCCCAGGCTCGTCGAGCGACCATTACCGTTACCACTATAGTTTCGCTATATAATGTTCGCTCATGCCTTCGCTCATTTGTATTCCTTGCTTCGATAGTGCAATTCTCGTTCGTTCACTCAATTGCACTCGTAACAACAAGCAAAACTTGGAAGCATACAAATCAAAAGCAACTCGTTATATTCCATCGGTGAAAGATACTAGTAAGTTATTACATTTCTATTTTGTGGTGGAAGATACTAGTACGTTATTACATTTCTATTTTGTCTTCCACTGGAAGAACATTATAGATAAAGAATACAAGGTGCAGCAAGAGGCACAACAAAATGAAGGGGATCGACTGGAAATCATTGACTGCAAAGCCCCCACGGAGAGATGCATAACTACATTCCCTCGCGCAGTCTTTGATAACACAAAACGAACACGAATTTATCAAGAATGTCTGCCCCAGAGCTTTCACGGACACTTGCATCCCGCTTGAGAAAGCACACAAACGCGGTGAAGAGACACAAAGACACACACGCACACTACACACACACACAACACACACATCTACTCTACTTGACTGGTCATCAGTCAATGACAGAGAACTTCACACGCCTCCCTGATATCCTCGGGTCTTGCAGCAATCCAGGAGACTTGGGTGGTCTAGCGCCGTAGTCCAAAACTGAAGAGTAGCTTCCAACACTACTGATACTGCTGCTACTGTAACCACCAGTGCTGTTACCGCGAGGGCTCCTGGATGGGGGCGAATGAGCGCTGGTTCGGGGACTCACTCCAGCACCAGGGCTCTCGAGTCCCCACGATTGGCCCGCGCGTTCTTTTGGCGACACAATGCTCTTCTGCGACAAATTCACGTATTCACCCACGCTTGCAGAGTGCGGAAGCCCACTCGGAGCGTGCTCTGACTTGGAAGCACACGCGGCCAGGTTGCTCTCCGATCGCGAGGAGGCCAACCAACGTCCGCCAGACGCGCCGCTCTTGGTGCTGCCGCTGCTCCTGCTCCCTCCCTGCTTGCTCGACTGCTGCTTCGTGGCTCCCTCGTTCGACCTGGCCTCGCTGATGCATCGGGTGCTGCTCAGGCAGCTGCACGTGCTGCACGTGCTACACGTGCTGTTCATGCTCACGCTCCTTAGAAGCACACCATCGGGAGTCACATGGTGCTGGTGCTGCCGCCCGCCCATCATCTCCGCCTGGCGGTGAGCCTTGCTCCACTCCATGTGCACCTCTTGCACCGCCCGCCCTGCCGCGATCCTCTCCTTATCTTTCTGCAGCGCTTCCCTCTCCCGCTTCAACTCCTCCCGCTCCCTCCTCACCTCGTCTCTCTCCCTCCCCACCGCCTCCCTCTCTTGCGCCAACACCGCGCGCGCCCGCTCCAGTGACGCGCGGCTTCGTTCAACCGACGTGCGCTCCTCCTCCTGCTTCGCCGCCGCCGCGTTATCCGCTTGCGACCACGCGTTCAGCATCTCCTCCAGCTCCTTCGCCACGTGGTCCCGCTCCGCTTCGGCCACCTGCGCGGCTGCCGTGGCTTCCGCCGCGGTGCGCTCCGCGGAACGCAAAGATTCTGCGAAGAAAATAGCGAGAAGAAGAGCAAATGTGGAAAAATAGCGGTAAGGAAAACCATCTCGAGAAATTATGAAACGCGCTAGGTGACAGCACGATCAAAATGGGAAATGCAGCATCACGGTGACTTACCGGTTAGCCACTTATTAATCTTGGAGCATCGCTCGAGCTGCCTCCGCAGCTCATTAATCTCGCGCCCCAGGCGCCGCATCGACACCGACGCGTCCGACGAATCCTCCTCCTCCACCTCCGTCGCTTCGTCGCGGCCCGTCGCCGCCGACCCAGCGTCAGTGTCGTCGTCGCCGTTCAAGCGGCTTTTGCGGGGGAGGGTGCGTTCCAACGGCTCCGACGCCCCGACGCGCGACAGGTGGCGGCGAGACGACGCGGTCCGGTGGTTCCCATTGGGAGAGGACGCGGAGGGTGTGAGGCAAGAGGGGGAGGACGGGGTTGTCTCATCTGAACCCACGTGCTCGCTAATGCTGCGGAACATTGCCCTGGAGCCGCCGTTACGGCCCTGCGGCCCTTCGCGACCCGCTTCAGCCTGAAGGCAGAACTCCCTGGAAAAGTCGCCGTTTATCAAGTCGCGGTTGTATGTGCTTGGGGCATTCACGCTGCACCTTCCACTGCTTCCTCGCGGAACACCCATCTCCGGCGTGCGGACCCTCGTCGTCGCCGCATCCACCGCCCCGCCGCTGTCGCCCACGAGGAGTCGCATCGCGAGGCGCCTCGGGACGTCTCGAGGAGACCCGAATCCGTAACTCGAATCCGCGTCGCTAGGAATTTCAAGGGAACGGCGGCCAACTCTCATGGCGGAAGGAGTGCTAGAGGATGAGGACATGGGGGAGAGGGTGCTCCGCGGGGAATGGCGAGGGGGAAGCGAGGAGAAAGAAGGGTCGTTCTCGGCGAGGGTTTCGACGAAGCGCGAGAGCGAGTCGGCGAGGAATGAATCTGTGGACGGCGACTTCTGATGTGACCGGGACCGTCTCGAGAAAGCGGGACGCCGGTCAGTGGTGGCCATGTTAGTTATCCAGCCGACTACTGCTTCTAAGAAAATGAACTTAAAGTTGCAGGAGAGTGTCTAGTCGATTCAGCACGTGCACGTCTGTGAGCATCAACAGACCGGTTGCGTTTCTAAGCTCTGTGTAGGGGAACAGCAACGGGGTGACTTGGGAAAAGATGCTGTACGATGCTCAGAGCCGTGTACATGAGGAGCCTCCCGTCATAATATCCTGGCTGTGTGATTCTGATTCCACCTGAGGGAGCAAAAGCAGGGACTGTGGCTCGCTGGTTCATTCGACAGGGCGGTGGGATTTGTGGAAGAGAAGTGCAAAAATCAAAAACCAAATTTCTCATCCCAGCAGCTGTGGCGAGAGCCACAGAAGCATGTGGGCTGCGACCGCGATTCGAGGAGCATCCGAAATGCATGCAGCTGCCTCCAATTCTGGTGCTGGCCATTCATGCGACGACTCAGGGCGTATCCAGGTTCGGGTCATGAGCCCTGTTCCGGGCATGCGCGATTTACGGATGACCCAAACAACATAGAACGCATGTTTGGGTCATGCGACCCCCATATTGCCGCGAGGGTTTTCGCGCCAAAATCCAGCTCACAACACCAGTCGCATCCAATGGTGGGATGCCCGAACATTTCGAGAGGTCATTAGCGAGACCCAAGCAAAACCACGTGACACTCGCTGAGAAATCACAACCCCCAAAATTCCCTGAGCGAATTCCCAAATGTTGGGAGCGCGACGCGAGAAATTTTAGACACACTCGGGGTCAATTTGTCGAGTGGTTGGGTGCAGAGGTGTCAGACGTGGGAAATTGCCCACGTGTGACACTCGACTGAGGATCAACAAAAAGTTGGCAGTAACACCACAATCGTGCAACCAGGTGATTGGCTGTGGGTGGGTCGTGCACGTCAGTCGCACAACACCTACACATTGACCCAAAGCTGGGGCAGCCCACTTCGGGTCATGCGCAAATTCCGCATGACCCGAACAGTAGCCAGAACAGTGCTCATGACCCGAACCTGGATACGCCCTCATTTGCTGTGCAATGTACATTTCACCTGCGCTGCTGCGTTGCTGTTCTGTGCAGGCACGCCAGACCAGACACCTCCGTGACTCGTCGTGCCTTGTCCCTCTGCTTCGCAATGCCCCTGCTCTGATCACTCCGTCCGCCTCCCTCCCCCTTCTTCCCGTGATCGGGGCCCTTATCCCAAAATTTCCCTTGCTTTTCTGGCGTGAGTGTTTCGGTATCTTGTGCGCAGGGCATTTTCGGGTTGCCATCAACTTTGCCGGAAGGTACAGAGCTATTTCGATTTGCATCGACAAGCCAGAGCATTTTGGAAAAATTTACACGGGCGCGAACTATGTTTTTGCGGAAAAAAATGAACATTAAGGGTTCCAACCTTCTTCACTCAACTGTACAGCACATTGTTTTTTCCGCCAAACTCGATTGTGTGACATGCAAGCGAATGAAGCAAGAGGTCAGAGCTGAAGTCCAAATTAAGTTGCTTAGGGGCCTCAAACAAAAGCTGCATTGCCAATTTGGAACAACCAAGGAAGACCACTCTAAAATACGTGCGCGGTGTTATGTAGACTAGAAGTCCGAACCGAAGTTGAAAAAACGAGCGAACGGCATCCATTCCATGAGCGCGCCATGTCAGCACTTCTGTCGTTTTGCGTATTTGACGGTGAACGTATGTTTTTTTAGGCTGCAGTGTACAGCCACTAGACGAAGTACAATGCCGTTTTTGTGGTGTGAATGGAGCCACCATGTAGCTTCTAGATTTTCATCTCCAGCCTGTCGCAGTGACGTGGGATGCAGCCATGATCTCATGTGGTGTATTTTATCGGGCAGCGTTCAAGGTTTTCCAGCGGGAGAGGTCAGGGCAGACAAGGGAAACTACTTCGGCAATGGAATATCATAGAGAACCACCCCTGTTCCTAAATGTAGCAGGCTTGCCGTCTTCAATGGCTGATTTCGCACATCTCCGGGAACCTTAAGCACATCAACATACTCAAGTAAAGCGCCCTATCTCAAACATATTTTGCTTCGGAAAACCTCGTTGTTGTTCAACACGTGTGAATGAGTCCAACACCCAGGTCTGACGCAACTGACGCAACTGACGTCATCGAGATGCGCGGGGCACAAAAACAGGTTCAATGCTAGCGGATAGGTTTCGGCTCGAGGCCGCCCAAAGAATAATAATCACGTGTCGAAGTGGTATCTCATTGCCTGAAATTGTCGGTACAAAACTTTGCCAGCAAAGCATTGGCTGTACATCTCGCTGGCATTTGCTGAAAAACAATTCTGTTCTCATGGATAGGCTATCCGGAAGTTATATCACGACACATAGAATGTGCGATTCGGATTTTTATCATTGGCCGCGAAAACGTCCTTGTCACAAAGGTCGGGGGCGATTTCCAGGTTCGGTAAAAAAAACGTCCAAAACTACTGGACGAGCTGTGATTCCCTTGAATCAACTTCCGTTCGCGTCGGTTCACTTGAACAAGCAGCTGGACAATCTATAATACGTCTATAAAATGAAATTCGAAGCACACCACTTCTCAATATGAACTTTTGTTTCATCCAAGTCATTAGACAGGCTGGCATCTCTCAGTCTCTTTTCTCTCAAACAATCTATCAATCTAAGCTATACCTACGTCCTACCTGTCCGGCTCCTTCCACCAAACCTTCCTAACAAAGCAGGGGAACCTGAAGACCTATCCCTTGGAGCATCGGGCCCCGTGCCACCTCCTTTCTGCTGCCGCCACGGCACTGCACTCCCCCACACGCCTACTGAGCTGCCAGGCACGCTGCTGGCATCAGCAGCATACCTGCTGGAAACTGGAGGGGGCTGGATTGAAGGGGCTAGCGACGACGGAGGTCCCAAGGAGGAGGGGGATGGGACGAGAGGAGAAGACACCTGGCGTTGCCCAGGATTTTCCTCTGAGTAACCTCTTCCTGATGTAGCTGAGGCAGTGTAGGCAGAGTATGGACCAGAGTAGGCAGCAGATACAGACGAAGACGGGGGCAGGGGTGCGCCGCTCGGAGCCGTGACCCTGGTCTTCACAAACAACCGCTTGGTCCACCCCAGCCGCTTCTCCTCCTCCTCCTCCTCCTCGCGCTCCCTCTCACCCACCTCACCGCTCTCAGCATCTGCACTCCCTTCCAGTGACGGCTCCCTGCAGGCAGGCAGCAGGCCCGTGCATGGCGGCATGGGGCAGCACGCCTCCATCTCCCCTCCCCCCTCTGCCCCGTCGCCCTGTTTCTCAGGCCACGGCTGCAGCGGAGAGATGTCAGGCACAGCAGATTCCGAATCCACTGCTGTGAAAAACTTCGCACTCACCACCTCTCTCTGCTCTTCTGCTGCCGCCGCCGCTGCTGCAGACGCTGCCTGGTTCTCAGCAAGGGAGGTTTGGGCTGCCGACCGCGGCACCTGAGGCTTGGTACGGGACGCTTGAGGTTCGGTGTGAGGAATTTGAGGTCCGACACGAGGCTCAGCTGGATCTGAGGCAGCGACGTCAGTTGCAAGCTGCTGCTGTATTTGCTGTAGCTGCTGCTGTTGCTGCTGCTGTAGCTCTAGTTGCTGCTTCTGTGCGGAAGCCACTCGCTCACTCCATGTCAATCCTCCCAGCGATGCGGAAGGAGGTGTGGCTGATGCTCGTACAGACGGCATCGCCATCGCCTCATACAATGCACCCTCGCCACTCCCACCCGCCTCCACACTCATGCCTTCTCTCCTACCGCCCGTGCGCTCTCCCCCAACCCCCACTCCTGTGGCCCCACCAGGCCCCTCCCCCCTGCCCTTTGAATCACTCGCCCTCCCCGCATCCCCCCCTCGCCTCTCAAATACAGCCTCCACCAGTCGCACCCCAAACTGCTCCTCGAGCCTCTCCTGCATGCGAGCCAATACCTCCTCTGGCTCCTCCTCCTCCTCCTCCTCTCCCTCCCCTTCCTCCCACAACCCATCCTCATCATCCCCCTCCCCATCCCTCGCACAAACCTCACTCTCCTCCTCGTCCTCCCCCTCCACTCCCTCCTCCGCACTCCACCTCCTCCCCATTTCCTCGTCCACCTGCCTCTCTGCTCGTGTCTCCCCGCTCCCTCCTCGCTTCTCCACCCCCCCGCCTCTCCCCCCCGCGCCCCACTTAGCAGCAGCCATTGCCGCTGCAGAAATGCCCCTCCCTGTCGCCCCCTCCCTCTCTCCACCACCCCTCTCCCCTCCCCTCTCCACATTCCTCCTCCCACCCTGCCCCTCCTCCTGGTTCGCCCGCTCAAAGAACCGCAGAGCATCCTCGTAATCATCCTCCCCCACCTCCTCCCCTTCATCCCCCAGCAACCCTCTCCCCGGAGACTCCCCTCCTCCCTCCCCTCCTGCCCCCTTATTCCCCTTCACAAACGGCAGCCAGCCCCACTTAGCCCTCAAAGCTCGAATCTCCTCAGCCCTCTCTCGTCTCGCTACCGCCCACTCCTCCATCTTCTCCCTCTCCTGCCACCCACTGCTCGCCTTTTCCCAGTCCCACACATCCTTCCAAACCACCTCCCTCCGGCCCTTCCTCCTCCCGCCCTCCCTGCGCCTCACCTCACTCAACCCCACCTTCTGGGCCCGCCGGCTCCTCTTCTGAAACTCCCTCCCGGCTGCCCCTCTGCTGTACCTGTCCCGGGCAGGTTCGAGGATTTTTTTCACGGGCAGCCCCTCGTGGGCGAGGGTCATGAAGCGGCTCCAGAGCGGTGCGGCGTGGCTGGAACCGGTGCCAGGGTGCAGCCCTCCCACTGGCAAGTTGTCGTCGTAGCCCAGCCATACCTGGCAGGGAGGAGAGGGCAGAAGCGGTGGGGATGGGAGGAGGGTGGTGAGGTGGTGCGGGTGTGCAGGGCAGGAGTGAGAAAGGAGGTGAGCCAGTGCCGCGACGAAGAAGGCTACTCACCGGCTTGTTGTCGTCGTAGCCCAGCCACACCTGGGGGGGCGGAGAGGGCAGCAAGGGTGGGCACGAGCGCACGGGGGTGAGACCACAGGGGGTTGCAAACCAGCGAATTAAAGCGAGGCGGTCTTTTCCGGGGTGCAGCCCCCCCAACAGCCCGTTCTTGTCGTACCCCAGCCATAAAGGTGAGGGCAGGAAACAAGGATGAAGGCATGGAGACACCAGACACATAACCAGGAAATGAGCCGTGCTGGAGTGCAGGTCACCCACTGGCGCAGTCTAGCTGCAGGGGGAACCCAGCAAACCAGCAGCCATGACAGCCGTCAGCAGGATTGGGTCCTGAGATCACTCTGAGCACTCCGTTCTGCAACGAGACGAGAATGCTCTACCCCTCTTGTTCAATTGCTTCAGCCAAGCTTCGCTGCTGCAATGTTAAAGAATCGGACAAGGACCTCCCCACTCACCACGCACGCCAGCTGCGGGGTGAACCCAGCGAACCAGCAGTCGCGGTGGCCGTCACTCGTGCCGGTCTTGCCGGCGCACGGGCGGTCCATGCGAGCCCCCTTGCCGGTGCCCCTCTCCACCACGGCCTGCAGCAGCTTCCTCAACTCGCCCACCGCTGCCTCGTCCACTACAGGGTCCCTGCGCTCCATGCACACCTGACAGAGCCAGAGGGAGAGGGCAGGAGATCGGTGCACGCACGAGACATGTTTTAGGTGCCTCGCGCAACGCGGCTTCATTCACTACAGGGCCGTGAAGCGCACCCCTCCACTGCTTCACGGCCCAGGTGAAGCGCACCCCTCCACTGCTTCACGGCCCAGGTGAAGCGCACCCCTCCACTGCTTCACGGCCCAGGTGAAGCGCACCCCTCCACTGCTTCACGGCCCAGGTGAAGCGCACCCCTCGCACCACAGGCTACAGGGTCTCTGCGCTTCACTGTGGTGCAGTAGACTGTGGTGAGCTGCAGTGGCGTCACCTCTCCATACCGTTACACACATGACCACCAAGGACAGGCCCCTCACCTTAGCTTCTTCCAGCACCCTCCCGTTGTACGACTCAACGCGGGTGATGAGGTGTGGGCGGTGGTAGATCCCCCCTGCAGCGATCGTGCAGTACACAGTGGTGAGCTGCAGCGGCGTCACCTCGCAGCCGCCCAGCGAGAGCGCCAGCTCGTGCGGTAGCGGTGTCTTGATGCCCAGCGCGCGCCCCATGTGACACACCTGGTGGAATGAGGAGGGGATAGAGGGGAGGGGAGAAAAGGGGGGGTGTTGCCAGAGGGCAGCAGTGAGCAGCAGCGGCGTCACCTCGCAGCCCCCCAGTGACAGTGCCAGCTCGTGGGGCAGAGGGGTCTTGATGCCCAGCGAGCCCCCCTTGTGACACACCTTGGGGGGACACAATAGGGAGGCAGAGAGGGAGGCAGAAGGGGAGGCGGATGGGGGGAGGGAGAAGGCGAAAGGGGAAAAGCAGATGAGTACCTTTACCTCCTCACCTTGTCAACACCGATGACAGCACACAGTTTACAAGCGAGCAGCGGCACATGAACTCCTTACACCCACTGTATAGCCCCCTCCCGCACAGCAAGGCAGCGTCAACATATCCCAACACTGATCTCACCTTGTCCACGCCAATCTCACCTTGTCCACGCCGATCCCACCTTGTCCACGCCGATCTCACCTTGTCCACGCCGATCTCACCTTGTCCACGCCGATCCCACCTTTTCCACGCCGATCCCACCTTGTCCACGCCGATCTCACCTTGTCCACGCCGATCCCACCTTGTCCACGCCGATCCCACCTTGTCCACGCCGATCCCACCTTGTCCACGCCGATCTCAGCGCAGAGCTTGATGGCGGACACGTTGAGCGACTTGAGCAGCGACTCCTCCAGCGTGACGGGCCCGTGGAACCACTGAGGCTGCACCACTGATCCCACCCACTGTATAGCCACCTCACTCAAACAGCAACCCAACCTTACCCTCAACAGCAACCCAACCTTACCCTCAACAGCAACCCAACCTTACCCTCAACAGCAAGCCAACCTTACCCTCAACAGCAAGCCAGCCTCACCTTATCGACGCCGATCTCAGCGCAGAGCTTCACAGTGGGCACGTTGAGCGACTTGAGCAGCGACTCCTCCAGCGTGACGGGCCCGCGGAACTTGCGGTCGTAGTTCTCCGGGGCGAACCCGCCCACCTCGTATGGCTCGTCCACCAACACGTAGTCCTTGGTGCTGGGGGTAGCGATTGGGGGAGAGAGGGTAGGAAAGAAAAGGGCGAATGAGGGTATGGAGCTGTGCATGATGAGAGCGGGCCCAGCATTGAAACACACGCGCCCACCCCGTACAGCTCGTCCGTTGTGCTCAGTTCGGCAGAGCAGTGAGGCAGTCGACGAGAGAAGGACCTCGTGGGAGGCCTTCGCTCAACCCCGACACTCCCCAAAAGCCTTAAAACCTGAACCCTGAACCTCTGAAAACCGATTTCTAACCATCACTCACATGCCCTCGGCGAGTGCAGTGAGGTAGACGACGGGCTTGAAGGTGGAGCCGGGGGGGCGCAGCGCCTGGGTGGCGCGGTTGAAGCAGCTCTCGTAGTAGTCCCGGCCCCCCACCAGCACCCTCACCGCACCTGACAGCGGATCCATGGCCACCATCGCTCCTTCTAACCTGCATACCATGGAGGGGTGGAAACCACAGAACAAGGATGAATAAGGCGACCGCACAGCAGCTCTCGTAGTAGTCCCGGCCCCCCACCAGCACCCTCACCGCGCCTGGGAGCGGATCCATGGCCACCATGGCCCCTTCTAACCTGCACAGGGCGGGGGGCGGGACACAATGGGATGGACAGAGAGGCCTCACAAATGAAGCACCTCTATTAGTAGTGGCGCCCGCCCACTGACAGAGGATCCATGGCTAGTCACCACGGCCTCTCCTAACCTGCAGACCATGCAGAGATGCAGTGACGGGATCACAGAAAAAGGGTGACACAGGCGAACGGACGCATCTGGGCTTGGTGTAAAACCGGGACAGGACAAAACAAACATGGATGGGAATGAGTTTGCCTGACTCGAACATCTGTGCACACATGGGAGGCATTTCCCGCATCATCTGAATCACAACATACGATGGAGCGACCCCATACTCCCACCACCCCTTCCCCTCCCTTGCTCCCCATAATCAGCGCCCTTCCTTGCATCTCCCCTTCCCACACCCCACCCACACACACACTGTACCCATCCGTCCTCTCATTTCTTCCACCCGCGTCTCCTCCCCACATTCCTTCGTCTCCCTGCACCGCCCCCAATCCCCCCCTCGTCCCCCCCCCTCGTTTCACCTGGCGGCCTGCGCGCTCCTGAGCTCGTTCTCGTAGCGCTGCATGGCGGTCGTCAGCGTGCGCTCCCTGCACAGTGGGAGGGGGCGGAGTGAAAGAGGATATGGCTCCAATACGCCTCGTTCTCCTAGTGAAAGGGAGAGTGAAAGAGCGAAAGCAGCTAGACAAGAGGGTGGACTGGACGTGAGAACAGGTGAAACCCCTAGGGGGGTCCTGGGGGTCGGGAGGCGAGTGCTGCACATCACATCACATCACAGCACAGCACAGCACAAACGGATAACCATCCCTTTCCACATCCGCCCTTCCCTGTGCTGTCCCAGACCCTCCATCCATCCCCACTCACATGGCTGCAAATCAATTTTTTCGAGGGTTACTTTTTCATGAGCACAGATCTGTGCTGTCCCAGACCCTCCATCCATCCCCACTCACATGGCTGCAAATCGCTCGAGGGTGCGCGCCACTGCTGCCGTCTCGTCTGCCATCATCTCAGACACACTGGGGGGAGGTTAGGTGGAAGGGGGAGGGGAGGAGGGGACAGAGGGTGTACAGAGGGAAAGGGCGGGGGGGAGGTAAGGGCCGAGGGATGGGCGGCAGCGAAGTGAACCAGAGGGATAGCCTTGTCGGAATTTTGAAAGTGCAGGGGGTTGAAGGTGGTGCAGGAGGAGGAGAGGGAGGTGCGAGCAGCAGGCGCAGGGCACGTGAGAATAAGGGGCGTAAAGGCCGAGAAGAGGAGGCTGGGGCGAGGCGGGTTGAAGGAAACAGGGCATTGCAGGGGAGAGGACTCACGTCTTTTGTGTCTGGCCGTTCTTCTTACGGAACTCTGCTGACCTGCACGTGGAGACATGTGTGGGGCATGTGGAGATATACAGTGGAACACACTTGGCAAAAAACACATGTAAGATGACATGCTACTGTAAAGTAGCAAGCCCTAATCCGCACTTCACATCCCCCTACCTCACCCTCCTCTTTCCCTACTCTCCAACTCCTCTTCCCCTCTCAAAAGCGTACCTCTTGACAGCAGCAGCGGCCACAGTCGCCAGGATCTGCTGCTGCCGCCTCCCCCGCAGCTCCTCCAGCTTCATGGCAATCGCCGCAATGTCTCTCTGCACCGCCGCCTCCCTCTCCTGGTCGTACTCGCACGTACCAACTCGCACACTCCCCCCAAAGATCCCCTTCCCCCATTTCTCCTCACCCCGTTTCCCCTCATCCCGTTTCTCCTCCCCCTGTTCCCTAACCCCCAACCCACCTCTTGACAGCAGCAGCGGCCACAGTCGCCAGGATCTGCTGCTGCCGCCTCCCCCGCAGCTCCTCCAGCTTCATCGCAATCGCCGCAATGTCTCTCTGAGCCGCCGCCTCCCGCTCCTGGTCATACTCGCGCGTGCCGTCCCCCACCACCTTCTCCCCCGCGTCCTGCATCGTCAGGTCCAGCGTCGTGTGCACCTGCAGCCCGCCCCGCACCACCTCCTCGCGCCCGTACCTCTGCGCCAGCTCGTATAACACCTGGGTGGGGCGGGGGGGGTGGGGGGAAGGGCGTGGGGGGGAGGGGAAAGGCGTGGGGGAGTGGGCGGAGAGCGTGAGGGAGAGGGGGATGGGCGTGAGGGGGCAGGGAGGGAAGAGAGGCAGAGCGAGCTCCAACCCACTCAGGGCTCGTCCATCACACGTGCCATTCCCCACTCACCTTCACACGTGCCATTCCCCACTCACCTTCACACGTGCCATTCCCCACTCACCTTCACACGTGCCATTCCCCACTCACCTTCACACGTGCCATTCCCCACTCACCTTCACACGTGCCATTCCCCACTCACCTTCACACGTGCCATTCCCCACTCACCTTCACACGTGCCATTCCCCACTCACCTTCACACGTGCCATTCCCCACTCACCTTCACACGTGCCATTCCCCACTCACCTTCACACGTGCCATTCCCCACTCACCTTCACACGTGCCATTCCCCACTCACCTTCACACGTGCCATTCCCCACCCACCTTCACACGTGCCATTCCCCACTCACCTTCACACGTGCCATTCCCCACTCACCTTCACACGTGCCATTCCCCACTCACCTTCACACGTGCCATTCCCCACTCACCTTCACACGTGCCATTCCCCACTCACCTTCACACGTGCCATTCCCCACTCACCTTCACACGTGCCATTCCCCACTCAACTTCACACGTGCCATTCCCCACTCACCTTCACACGTGCCATTCCCCACTCACCTTCACACGTGCCATTCCCCACTCACCTTCACACGTGCCATTCCCCACTCACCTTCACACGTGCCATTCCCCACCCACCTTTCTCCCCCGCATCCTGCATAGTGAGGTCCACGTCGTGTGCACCTGAACCCCCCCTCCCTCTCGCCCCTCCCCACGTCCTCACCATCACCTTTCCCTGCACCGCACCGCACCGCACTGACGGAGAAGCGCGCCCGCCACAGCCCACACGCCCCATGCTTGCCCTCCTGCCCCACCTGCAGTGGCTGGTTGCAAACCACCTCCCCCTCCCCCTCCCCCTCCCCCTCCCCCTCCCCCTCCCCCTCCCCCACCTCCCCAGCACACCTCTCACCTCGCTGACAAAGAAGGGAGCTCGCCACGGCCCCGACGTGCCGTGCTTGGCCTCGGATCCCAGGCGCAGCGGCTGCTGCATGGCCTCCGTGGCCGTGGCAATGTCCAGAAATCCAGCTTCCACCATTCGCCTCAGCGCCCGCGCCTGGGGCTTGCGACCCCTGTAGGGAGACAGAGCGGCAGCGAGGCAGGAATGGAACGGGGATGAGGATTCAAGAGGGATCTGCTAGGGAGGTGCCTCACGAATGCCATAAAGTGGCATGGCATCGGTGGTCGTGGCAATGTAGGGGAGGGGTAGGGGGAGTGCGCTACTGAGGCGCCTCACGAATGCCGTGAGTGGCATGGCATGGCATGGCATGGCATGGGCTCAGTGGCGATGTCCCGAAAGCCCGCTTGAACCATGCGCCTGGGGCTTGCCGCCCCTGCAAGGGGGGGTCGGAGTGATTGGAGGATACACACTGGAGGGCACATCCGGGGCAGGTGTGGCGGCGGAGAGGGGGATGGGGATATGGATGGGGGATGGATTGGGTAGGTGGTGGCTGGAGTGGCAGGTCGTGCCTAAGGGGTGTGTAGCATCTGACAGCGGAGGTCATGCAGGATTCATTATACAAAGTGGCACATACCTGGAGGGGTCGCGGTAGGGCGAGAGGAGCTCGGGCGCGGGGATGATACCGGCCAGCATGGCGCACTCGCCCAGCGTGAGCAGCGACGGGTGCTTTCCAAAGTAGAGCGCTGATGCCGCCTCCAGTCCCGTCACCCCGTGGCCCCAGTAGATCTGCAGGCGACAGACAACGGACAGACAGCAGGGAGCAGAGCAACAGAGAGAGAGAGAGAGAGAGAGAGAGAGAGAGAGAGAGAGAGAGAGAGAGAGAGAGAGAGAGAGAGAGAGAGAGAGAGAGAGAAGCAGAGATGCACAGTGAGTCCTCAGACCCGTCACGCTGTAGCCCCAGATCTAACGGTGGGGCACTGGGGCACCGGGCATGAGGCAACAGACAGGACGACAGGCAGCCATGCGCGGACAGCAGAGAGACAGTGCGCCCCGCCACGTCATCCCGTGGCCCCAGTAGGTCTGAAGGTGGCTGACCTTATTGAGGTAGAGGTGCAGGATGTCCCACTTGGTCATGCGCCTCTCTATAATCACGGCCAGTATGATCTCCACCAGCTTGCGCGTCCACCGCCGCTCGTTCGACAGAAACACGTTCTTCACCAGCTGAGAGGGGGGCGAGACGCGGGGGCGAGAAGGTTGCGGAAGGAAGAGGAGGGGGAGACGCGGCAGGGTGGGCGGGGGAGAAGCGCAGGAGAGTGAGCTCACAGCCGCTCGTTCAACACACACACCTTCTTCACCAGCTCAAGGGGGAGGGGCGGCGGGGGGCGTGTGGCAGGGTGGGTGGGTGGGGGAACATTGGCTGGAGGAGTTGTATTGTGCCTCCTCGTTCGACAGAGGAGCAGAAGGAGGGCGAGGAGGTTGGGAAACGACGAGCGAAGGCCCACAGCAAGCGGCATTGGCGTGCAGGTTACCCGGGTGTGCAGAGGGGGAAACAAGCGTCTGCACGCCACTTTCACCCTTACACTTCACCGTCCACATTCCAAGCTTCGCCTTGTTCAATTGTACCTTAAATGCTTAACTCTCTCTTTAGGAATTTCAGTGCCCGTCCGCCCCACCCGTCCGCCCAACCCGTCCGCCCTGCCCGTCCGCCCTCCTCGCACACCACCCCTCACCTGCTGCGTGATCGTACTCCCGCCTCCCGTCCGCGCCAATGACATGATGGCACGTGTCAGGCCCTTGGGATCGAACCCCTGGTGTTCGAAGAACCGTCGGTCCTCCGTCGCGATAACCGCCTGCCACATCACCGCCGGCACTTCCGTCGGCTTCAACGGCGCCTGCCCCTTGCTCGCGTCCTTCCGCCGGCCGCCGAACCCGCCGGGAACGACGGTGGCGATTAAGTCGCCGTGGCAGTCGTAGATGGCGGTGGCTCGGCGCGCTTCGACGGCCGTCTTGGGGTCGAAGTGCGGCTGCTCCGCGAACAGCTTCTTCCAGCGCGACAGGAAGTCCGGGGGGAGCGCGGACAGCAGCATGCGGAGAAACGCCGCCGCTCCGCCGAACGCCAACGCGAGCGCAACGGACTGGATCGACACCCGCAGAAACTTATTGTCGCTCGCTCCGCCTCCCCCGCCGCTTTCTGCGCCGCCAGACGCGGCTCTAGCGGAAGCGGAGTTTGCAATTGTTAAAGGTGCTTCTGGCGAGCGGCATGGCGTGGCTGTATGTGCTGCTACAGTGGCCTGGGGCGGTAGGACGTGAAATTCGGATGTAGCTGGATCCTGGACCAGCATAAGTGGGCCATACTTAGGCAGCCTGTGGCCGTTCGTCGGTTCTGATTGGAGGAGAGCTAATTGAGCTAGCATGGCTGACATTTTAATGGCGGACTTGGAGCGACGTGACACGTGTGAAGTTGACTCAAACGAGGGCTGAGTGTGCTGCTGTAGGGAACGGAGAATCTGCGGCAAGTGTAAGGAGCGCAGCAGCGCGGCTTCCACGTGGCGAGCTGACGACACGCGATCGTTACTCGCCTCATGGTTTCTGGGTGGCTCTTTGGCATGACCCGCGCACCAACCAGGTGCTGGCACCTGGCTAATCGCAGTTGCGGATTGCATCGTACCTTCCTAACGTCGTCAACTCAAATCTGCCCTAATCCTATCCTCTCGCCAGGCTGATATCCCAGAGAAACTATGACTTCGAACTGCACCTACGTTCCGTCACCGCGACGCATGGACATGCATTTGGACCAATAACTGCATCACGCACTATAAGGTCCTGAATCTCGTCACGCAGCGCGGCTTCTACGATGCACACTCTAAAGGCTAATGCGTTCTAAAGCACAACTGGTGCCCAAAGGGGAGAAATAGTCCAGGAAACCTGCCCAGAATCCGGAAAAGCGTCTCGGAATCTGGATCATACACGCGCAGTCGAACCATTCTCGAGAAAGCAGTTGAGGGGGGGAACTCGGGACAAGAGGGAGACATGGTGGACTGACAAAAAGGGATGCCCAGGAAACTCCGAACCTCGCGGGCACAGGGAGTTGCTACTGTATCTGTTCTGGGTTTGCTGCGCGAAGCTAGGCGACAGGTTTGGAAAGGCGCTTTGGCGCGAATCGAATGGGAGCCGAGCGCGAACAGAGCTGGTCAGAGAACAAATTATACTCGATAACAACTTTATAAGCATTTCGTTATTAAAGATCCGTGGTATTTTAACATATGTAGTTGTCTACGATACCCGTTTTACTTCCATCTATGGTACCTCTTTTACTGCAATGTCCCTCCCTAACATCTCAGTCTGCATGCTTTTTCCTACCCGATGCATTAAAGATTCCTTGGTTGCATATATCTCTCAAACACATGCATTATCACTCCCAACCACTTCACAGTTATTGAAGCACATAAAAACATCATAACAGATACAAGATGCATTCAGACGAATTATTCCATCACTAACTTACAGTACATATGATTCTAAACTTTAGCCGTAGCACCTGATGGGATCCGTGCAACCCTTAGCAGCTGATTGCCCCATGCCAAACCTCCCACCCTTGGCAAGATACTGTTGATGGTAGCTCTCAGCAGGGTACCACTTCTTAGCGGGCATAATCTCCGTCACTATCTTCCTACCAATCTGAGCCTGCCTCGCCTCCAGCGACTTCTTCGCAATTTCCTCTTGCTCAGGAGAGAAAACGTAGATCCCTGAGCGGTACTGCGTCCCCGTATCACCACCCTGGCGGTTAAGCGTGGTGGGGTCGTGCCTGTTCCAGAACACGTCTAGCAGACCCTCGTAGGACACCTCCTTGGGATCATACACCACTCTCACTGCCTCTACGTGCCCTGTGCGCCCAGAGCATACCTGGTGGACACGAGGGAAGGCAAAAAGGGACCACAATTTAAATACCATCCACGTAATCACACGTGAATCTAAAGGTAGATAGTCAGCGAAGATGCTTCTGTTCAATCGAAGTAGACAAACGGACGTTTATGCTTATTTCAAAGTGAAGAAATTTCAGACAAAAATAAATAAATCTCTTACCTGCTCATATGTGGGCTTGTCATTCACGCCTTGCGTGTATCCAACCTCCGTCCTGCACGCGCAGCGAGGAAACAGCGATATTGGTCATTCATGGGCACTAGGACCATGCTTTTCACTTTCCAAAGACCCGATCAGCCAACTGGTAATTGACCACACTGGGGGCGATTGTATTGAACGCATATATAAATTGCTTTACATTCACACACTCAAGTAGTGCTGTGTTTTTACCAAAATCTCAAAACACTCTGCGCAACGAGAGCATGAACGTCCAGCAATACCATCACATACTTACTTGACCACACCGGGGACCCGCTGGAAGGCGAGCTCGACGCCCCAGAAGCAGCCAGCGCCAAACTCGGCGAACTGCAGCCCCGCGCCGGGGTTGTCCGTGTCCGGCTCCTGCGCCACTCCTGCCGCCGCCATCGGCGCTGCTGGCTTGCCCCACCCGGCGAAGGAGAAGAGCGATTCCGTGGTGACCGGCTGCGGGAGGCGAGAGAGAGAGATGCAGGAAATAAAATAAAAATGAGCATGATACGAAGTCCGCGTGATCCAAAGGACGAACCCACTAATTCACATGCGGATAATCCAACACAGGGGAATCCACGAGAAAATTCACCTCTTGCAAAATCAGTTCAGAGCGCGCGATCGGTAACGTTGCGACGAATGAGAGAAGGAGAGGGAGCGCAAAACGAACCCTGGAAGACTTCACGGATGCGACTGGCACGACGGTGGATGCGAGCAGGCCTTTATGCCCGCCTAGGAAATTCGCCGAGCCGAGGCGAAGAGCAGCGGCGCTACGGGCGTTGGTGGCGAGAGAGGTGGCGAAGGACGCGTAGGTTTCGGCGGAGGCGACAGGAAGCGTCAACATGGCGGCCGTAAGTTGGGATAGCTGCGCGAAGCTGTGCGTGTGAAAGTGAATTTGCTGAGAGTCAGGCGGTAGGATGGTAGGGGTGAGGGAGGAATTTGATGCTTGCGGAAATGGGCAGTGTCTTGGGGTGTGGGGTGAGGTGGAATGACGGTGCTTCTGTGAGCAGCCGTGGCAGTGCATGGAAGCACAGAAGGGACACGCTGGACAAACTGATGATGGAGATTGTCATGGTGGTGACGCAGATGCTCTTGTGGCCTTCCACGTCGTCCATTACCTCCACCAGCAACCTAGATTCTTCTTTGTTGTTGTACTCGATTTACAATAAACCAAAGTTGACTTCATACCTTTGTTGTTGTACTCGATTTCAAGCATCGAGTTAACATCGATTTCAAGCATCCAGTAAACGCGGGATCAGACAAGTCATTACACGTGTCAGGGGTTTACTTTCTGACAGCTTGGACAGATCTGCGTCTGCTGGCTATTCCTATTCGTCACACGCCAAGGTGGTCCCAGATGCGGTTTGAAACCCATCAATTCATCTCATCCATCCGAACCGACCAGTTTCCAAACCCGCTAGTGTTGCATGGCATGAATTTGCGGATCTGCTGCGGCCGCCGAAACTCATGTACAGAACAGGATATGATGCTGCTCACGGCATCCATGACCCATCATACCTTTCCCGCCATTTTCACACTCAGCAGGCTCGTCAATTTAAAAATGTGCCGGTTGCTGTGGTGCCGAACCACCCGACACAATACTTGCGATCAGTGCGATCACATGTGATGGCTGCCCATGCGGCCCTCGCGACTCATGCGACATACACTGCATCGAATCGTCGCACCACCACCGACATACCAACCATCCATTTCCTATCATAAGAGCCAACCACGACCGTGAGTGGCGCCATTTCATTGCTATATATGCAGCTGCCTAGCACGCTCCTATACATAATAGAAAGTTCAGGCACTGATCTGTAGATTGCCAGCTAACTGCGTCTCTGACGACTCCTACCCCTACCAGTCTTTGCTTTGCTTTTGCTTGTTGTATTGTTCTGCTTTTCAGCACATTTGCGTGACTCGTATTCAGAATTTGTAACATGTCGACTTCGTACCAAATATCGTCCCCGAGGCATGACGCAGCGCCGATCACGCTCCGCGCGTGCAGAAGGAGCGAGGGCGCCGCGGAGCCCGCGATCGACGTCTGCGTGCGGTACCCGCACGAGCAGGCGCGGTCGAGCTTCGTGATTGGTCGGAGCGGCGAGATCACGGTGGTGTGTCGCGTGAAGCAGGTTCGTTGGAAACCAGTTCTCGTGTTCCAATGGCCGCCCAAATCCTCGAGCCTCGATCTGCTCGTCGAGCCGGCGGTCAGCGCGACTAGTAGAATAGCCAGTAGACTTAGGAACCTTTCGATAGGAAACCAGACAAGCTTCGAGAGCGTAGAGACGCGACTTAGGGAACACCTGCTGGTCGCAGGAGCGGCGAGCCTCGTGCATGGACGACTGACGGCACTCGGGAGGCAGACGAAGCTCGCGTCGTCGCTAAAGGTCAGTTGCCAGTTACGAACCAGTCTTTACAGGTCCAATGTGATTATCATTGATTTCCAGGTTGTGAAGATACCCGCTCTAGTCCGTCTCGCATTCCGCCTCATTCCCATTCCCCTTGACGACCTTGTCTCTTTCTCTTCTCGCAGGACCCGCAGGCGGCTTTATCCGCTGCGGCGACGCAGCTTCTAACGAGAGCGCAAGGCGAATCTCTACGCCAGCGTAAGTTACCGTTTTTTTCTCCGAATCTTGAACCCTCTCCCTTCGTACCACTCCTCCTTTTCACGTGTCACTCTTATCTCCAGTTCCCGCACTCACGCGCGATTTTCCCGATTCTTTGTGACTTGCAGTGGCAGCGGCGCACGGGCGACTAAGTCGAGGGGTGGCGAACCTGACGAGTCGCATCGTGTCGCACGCGCTGGGGCTGGAGAGGGACCTCAGCAAGGAGCAGTTCGCGGCGCTGCTGCCACCTGTGAGCCCCGCTGCTGTCACTTTAACCCGATCCTTGTTGCCCGAGCGCGAATACTCACTGCGAAAGCCGATTCCATACTGTCACTGTTTCCAAACCCTACCTATTTCCCTCACAAACGCCCTCGTCCTCCGATTGCATTGCCCCCCATTCCCGTCTAACCCCTGCTCCCTCCCTTTTCTCCCTGCCCCCTAATCCATGTCCAGTCCGTTTACGTGGACGGTCATATCCTCGCCGTGCCGCAACGCGCGGCGGCCGCTGCGTCGGCGGCGCTGAACACCCTGGCGACCGCGGCTATCGACCCCGCGTCGCTGCGGCTCGGCCACAGAGGCGACCCGCTCGCGTCGGCTGCCGCCGCCGCCTCCGCGTCCGAGTTCCCCGCCGTACCCGGCGGGATTTTCGCGCAGCGGAGCCGGATCGCGGCGACGGTGGGACCGTTCGGGCTCCCCGTCACCGGCGGGTGGCTGTCGTCGCGCTACGGGTGGCGCGAGGCGCGGAAGAAATTCCACAAGGGGATCGATATAGCCGTTGAGGAGAACACGCCGGTGGTTGCGGCGCAGGCGGGGCGAATCTCGTTCGCGGGATGGCGGAAGGGGTACGGATACGTGGTGGTGGTCGATCACGGGAAGGGGTACTCGTCGCTATACGCGCACTGTAACCGGTTCGTGGCGCGGAAAGGGGAGGCGGTGGGGAAGGGGCAGGCGATCGCGCTGTCGGGAAACACGGGGCATTCGACGGGACCGCACCTACACTTCGAGATTCACCGGCACGGGTCGCCTGTGGACCCGCTGCTGCTGCTGCCCGCGGAAGCCGCGCGCACGGAGAGATAGGCGCGGTGGGGTGCAATGGGGTGGAGTCTGTTGGACGGAGCGAGGTGACGTTGAGGAGGGGGGAGAAGAAGCAGGATGATGACAGACAGGGATGGGCGGCGGTTGGTGTAGGGTGGACAGCTGAGGAGAGAGGGGGTGGAAGTGGATGTGAGGAGGGGGGAGCAGGGGAGTGGGGGCTAGAATGGGGAACGGATGGATGATCAGATGGATGGGCATGGTTAGAAGCTGACCCGTAACAGATGCATACGAGCCATGGCACGGCAGCATGATTGGTGTAGAGTAGTGTAGTGTGGTGTTTAGCGCTGTCATGTGGGGTGGATGACTAGGAGGTGGTTGATTTCCAATTTTGCCTGTTGAGCTGGCAGGCTCGGCAGGCTCGGCAGGCTCAACAGGCTCGGCAGGCTCGGCAGGCTCAACAGGCTCGGCAGGCCCGGTACGACAAGAGTGCTGGTGCCCTGTGCTTGCCTCTGATAGGATTCTGTTGCCTTGTCTCCTCTATGTATATTGATTTCATTATTATTGAATCGAAGTGGAAGTGCAAGCAGCGAGTCAGCCATGATGGTGTGGTTGAATCAGTCTCTGGGAGCAGGTGGAGGAGGTGTTGTGCTGCACTGTGCAATGAGGAATGTTCCACGGTACTGGAACTGGTATGTATGCAGCCCAGTAGTAGGCACATGGGATGATAGAAGGCACCATCACTACGGTAGCTACCGGAGGCACGATGCGTGATTCACTGCAAACCGCACTAAAGGCAGTGCAACAGCCCCCCCCTGCCTCCACCTGAGCGTGTGTGTTACAGCCCTGCAATGACTTGTACAACCGTATACCACGTGTGGTGGTGGTGCGTCTTTACTGCTCTGTTAATTGCAGATCACATGGGTGCTGCAGAATGAGCCAGTCTTCTGAGTAGAGGGAAGCAAGAGTACAGCTAAGGAGGGACTTGCAAGAGTGTGGGCAGGCATAGAAAGGCACAAGGGGCCCTCCGAGAAGCACAGGCAAGGGTCAGAGAGGGGCTATGGGGGGCAGTGCAGTCATACCTCAATCTCCAAGGCACTCTGTTGATAAAATGCGAAGCATACACAACGAGACTAGCAATGATAGGAAGTTAGGGCGTTTTCCTGACTTCGTGTCATCCGGTCTTTGTGTCATCCGAAATTGTGGAATCTAATCAGAAAATTCGCAGTTTAAGCTTTGGGCTTTCCGATAGGATCCCACAATTTCGGATGACACAAAGACTGGATGACACGAAGCTAGGAATGAGCCCTTAGAATATCTAAAGGCTGCAAGGCAGAGTACGGACAACCAACCTACTACGTGAAATACTGTCTTGCTGGCTGACACACCTTTCTTACTTTTTTCAACTCCGCGGCTTGCTCTTTCAGAGTAGCTTTTAGAAGGGCTATTCTTGGGGTGATCTGGAATATTAGTGGCCAATACTTTCCTGTTACTGCAAATGCCAAAAAACGTAAAACAGGGAGGATGTCAATGAAACAGGAGCAGCTCAAGTAAGGGTGGAGGGGAGACCGGGAGAAGAGTTGGGAGAGGAGGGGGAAAGAGAAAGGAAGTTGAGATGCGACAGCTGAGCTAACTGTGTAGACAGTAGAGGACTGCAATGCATACACCATAATGAACTTCTTACCGAATAGACGGTTGTACTTGGCGTCCCATGCGATCCCGTTCAACACGTCAAATTCCTGACAGAAGCAACGAAGCAGTCAGACAGGGGCATCATCCATCAGAATTCCACCAATGTGCCTTGCCCCATGCCATACAAGCCACGCCATATGCACTTCATTTGAATTTCGAGACGACTCAAAAGTCCGCCGTATGCACTTCACCTGGTCTGCACTTGCCTTTGCCATCCTAGGTCACAACCCGTGCAAAGCATACCCACTAATGCTTGTTCCATGTGCATCAACGAACATGCTAAGGACGTGGAAAACTGTGAAACCTGGCCATCGAAGCGGAGGCCATTTCCACAGACCACTCACACGTGCGTTGAGTTCGTTTGATCTTGCTTGTGCTAGACGCCTGCAGGGATGAGGCGGGAGGGGAGGACGCACGTGGGCAGTGTGTGACGCCTGGAACCAGTGCGCACTGTGCAATGCTACCATGAGTAGCACGAGGCGAGTGGTGGGCGCAGTGCAGCCTCAACAACAGCGACTCATAGAAGGGTCCAGCCACGCAAGCACTTTGACGGTGTCGGGGTGGATGGCGGCAAGGCAGGTGGAGAGGCCCACGTGGACAAGGGGCACGCTTTGTTGACAGGCTACTTAACGGAAAACCAACTCACTGCAGGGAAGAGAGTTCCAGCCATGCGAGCACTTTGCCTTTTGAGTCGACTCAAAAGTCAACTCACTGCAGGGAAGAGAGGTCCAGCCATGCGAGCACTTTGCCTTTTGAGTCGACTCAAAAGTCAACTCACTGCAGGGAAGAGAGGTCCAGCCACGCGAGCACTTTGCCAGTGTCAGGGTGGATGGCGGCGAGGCAGTTGGAGAGCCACACGTTGGCCCACACGAGCCCCCTCACCACCTCCAGCTCGTTCAGATTCGGTATGCTCCTCTTTCCGTCCTTCACTGTCACGCGCGCCACGGCTGAGACGGTGGGGGAGATGTGAGGGGAGTAAACTTTGAAGGATGAGAGCTAGGAGATGGAGGAGAGTGGAGGAGCCGTCAGTGTTGACTGACAGCGATGGAGATTAAAAGAGACGTCGCAAAAGGGACCCTCGGGCAAGTAGAAGAAACCTTTGAAGGTGGAGGGGTGGAGACGGAAGAGTAGAAGGAACCTTTGAAAGACGAGGAGTCGAGGTGGAAGAGAGTGGAGGAGCCGTCTGTGCCGACCATAACCGACTCGTTGAGCACTGCCAGGCCCCACCCGTGCAAGTTTTGAGGCGCCTCAAAACTCGCCTCATCTAGCCTTTGCGGCGCCTCAAAGCTGCTCTCATCTTACCTTTGAAGGGCGACGAGTCGAGGAGGAAGAGACCTGTTCCATCAGTGCCGACCATGACTGACCTGTTCAGCACAGACAGGCCCCACCTGTACGAGTCCCGAGGCGCATCACAACCTGTCTCACCTAAGCTTTGAAGGTCAAGGACCGGAGATGGAAGAATCGGTGGAAGCTTTGAAGGGCGATGAGTCGAGGTGGAAGAGCGTGGATGAGCCATCAGTGCCGACCATGACTGAGCACTGCCACGCCCCACCCATCCGAGTTGTGAGGGTTGAGGATCCCCCCCCCATCTAACCTTTGAAGGATGATGAGTCGAGGTGGAAGAGCGTGGAGGAGCCGTCTGTGCCGACCATGACCGACCCGTTGAGCACTGCCAGGCCCCACCCATCCGCCATGCCGTGCTGGAAGCTGCCTGGAAGCAGCGGGGTGAGCAGGAGAGCAGGGATGCCAGGCGATATGAGGGAACGGGAGGAACGCTTTTGAGAGTTCAAAACACGCAATACAGAATGACACAGTATGCATGAGATGGTGTGGCACGGTGTCGCACATCATGGCATGGCATGGCATGGCATGGCATGGCAGCGACTGGCAGAGTGCTGAGCGGCACGTGACGGCTCACATCATACATATGACAGAGATCCAAGAACTGCTCCCCGTACCCATAACACCACCCATCCCCCTTCCCTTTTCCTCCCTTTATCTCACCCTGTGGTCGCAGTGTCTCTCTGTCGTACACCAAACCTGACCGTACCCGCCAGGCCAACTGGTACAGCCTGCGCGGTTCACAAAGGGGTACAGAGGAAGGAACAACGGGGCCAAAGGGTGAAGAGCGGTGCAAAGGAATCTCAGAGTTGTGTACCTCTGTCATACACGAGCCCTGGATTCGCATGCCAAGCCAGCTGGTACAGCCCTGACTTTGCAAGCCAGCTGGTACAGCCCCGACTTTGCAAGCCCGGCTCGCATAGCCGTTACTGTGCACATGTTATTGTGCACAGTACCATTCTAAACAGTGAAAGTACTACAATGAAGTTCATGCGCTGTTTTGCACCGTACCTGTCGCCACGCAGTGCAAGGCCCTCGCCGAAAACGTCAGCGCTCTGAGGCACGCTGTTGAGCACCTGGGAGGGAGCGAGAGCGAGAGCGAGAGAAGGGGAAGGCACATGAGTGGAAAGAATGTGGGAGGTGTCAGGTCAGGTGGCCGTTGCTGCTGGACCATACCCTCCACCAAACTTAATACACCGTACCATGCAAACCGAGCTGGACCCTACATGAGGGGGAATACGATGCCACAACGTGGCACATCTGTGTTGCTGCTTGTTGTGGTGGCACAGATGGTAGCGTAGGGGAGCATGCCACAACATCACCATACCATGCCATGCCACGCCATGCCACGCCGAGCTATGCTATGCGATGCCATGCCATGCCATGCCATGCGATGCCACGCCATGCCACGCCACGCCACGCCACGCCACGCCACGCCACGCCACGCCATGCCATGCCATTCAATGTCATGCCATGCCATGCTATCTGCCACGCCATGCCATGCCATGCCATTCTATGTCATGCCATGCCATGCTATCTGCCATGCAATGGCATGCCATGCCATGCTATCTGCCATGCAATGGCATGCAGCATACCTCACCAGAGGCCACATCCACCTCCCTCACTGTCGACTGCACGCGGGAAGAAAAGGGGGGGTGCATGGGGAAGGAGGATAGGGGCAAGGGGAGAAGGGGAACAGGAACACCAGGGAATGGGGACAAAAGGGGACAGGGGCAAGGGGGACCGAGACAAGAGGGGATAGGGTGAAGGAAGGACCGAAACACAGGATGATGCTGGACGGGCGAATTGGCCAGACTCAAAGACCACGGAATGCAGAGGGACAGTGATTCTGTGATTGCCGAGACAGACGTAAATCTCCCTACCCCCAGCCCAGTCACACAGACAAGTTCCCTCTCGCCCTTGGGCGAGTTCCCTCCCGTTCACACATGTGCGCCCCACTCACACATGCACATCCTCCCACTCACCCGCCCATACTCCCCCGTGCTCTCATAAAACACCCCCTCGCCGCTCCCCCTCCCCCCACTCGCTTCATGGTCCATGTATAGCAGACCCTGGGGAAAGGGATTGGAGGAGAGGAGAAGAGAGGAGAAGAGAAGAGAGGAGAAAAGGCGTGGGTGGGGAGGAGAAGAGAAGAGAGGGGTTAGGGAACAGAGGGTATGGAAATGGATGACTGAGATGACTGGGATTGCATGCACGGCGGAAATGGAAACGACCGCCTTGCACCCCACCACCCACTGCTTGCCTCATGGTTCACGTGCCACAGACTCTGTGGGGAGAGAAGAAAGGAGGCTTAAGCATGGTCGATAGCAGATAGCCCGGAGTGGGGAGCAGACGGACAGGGAGAGAAGAGAAACGAGGGCGAAATTAACATGCCTGGGTGAAGGATCTGCGGTCGTGCGGGTACGACTTGACCGGAATGCGAAGAGTGGTGAGTAGAAAGCAACAGAGGCTGACAGGAACATGCCTGGGTGAATGCCCTCCTGTCGTGCGGGTACGTCTTGATCAGGTCAAATTCCAAAATTTGAGGCACGGACGCGTTCTCCTCTAGCAGAAACGAATCACTCCCAAACGCGGACGCTGCTGCAGCGTCAGTTCCCCGCGTGGCTCCGCCACCAATAGACTCGCCCTCGGAAGACTTGCCATTGATAGGCTCGCCATCAATAGATTCGCCAGGCTCCTCTTCCGCGCTTATTGGCGCGGGGTGAGCGGCGGAGGGCGCGATGAGGGAGCGGAGGAGCGCCTCCGCCGCGGGCTGCGCGCCGAGCCAGAAGGCGGCGGCGGAGGCGAGGAGCAGCGTCGCGAAGAAGGCGGCGAGCGCTGCCGCGCATGGGAGGACCTGATGAGAGGAATGGAGGGCGCGGGGAATGGAGGGTGGTGAATGGAGGGCGCGGGGAATGGAGGGTGGTGAATGAAGGGCGCGGGGAATGGAGGGTGGTGAATGAAGGGCATTCGTAGACGGATGCCTCGCACGGCATCGCAGCAGGTGTATGTGTTACACCACATTTCGCATTCAAAGGTGTCACAGCGAGCAGCACGGACCTGCGACGCGCCGGGCCTCTGTCGCCCGAAACTCCACATGCCGCGCCGCTTTTTGGCCTTCACCTGCGGCGGGACAGGCGGCGGATCCTTGCTGCGAGCCGTGGCGGCGTGCCTGCGACTGGGCTGAGGTGGCATGGACGAGGAGAGAGCGCGGAAGCTGCGGGAGAAATTACAAGGTGGAAAGTGGATGTAGAAGACGCGAGAATTGCTGCGTCAGCCTAAGAACAACTCAATGGAGGGTGGTTTGTGGTGGGGTGGCAGAGAGGAGTGTCAGGTGGGATGGTGGCAGGTTGGCGGCTTGTCAATATCGAGGGAGCGAAGAGTGGATGAGGAGATCGACACACTGGTTGGATGGAGGTGGTCGTTCACAGAGTTCACCGTTTTCCGTTTGTAATCTCTTAAAACATTCCATCCGAACTTTGACCCAGCATGCACCTTGAATTTGAAGAAAACTTGCATTCATTTTGAGAGCTGAGCCTGATGTAATGTAATTCTTTTTACTTCAATAAGTTTGTTTTCCATGGGCCATTGTGCTTCCGAGCATACGCTTGTTATGGGCCATTGTTATGGGATATAACAAGCTATATCACGCAACACACTTTGGCTACTCGTATTTTGTTCACTTGATGTGACAACAAGCTCTATGTCGGGAACTGCCATCCGTTGTGGTGTGGTGGAGCATTCGCTTGGCTCGAGTTTCACGCCCTGATCTCATGCCCAAACCGCAACTCGGCCTCCACGCCCTAGATCTCTCCGACAGCCCTAACCTGACCGTGACGGTCTGCATGCATCTCGCGCCAGACTCGTTCTTCGCTCCCTCCACAGTCTCCAGATTCTAAACTGCAGCTTGGTCTTGAATTCGCGTTCACCTCCTTGTTCTCTGCACGAAGTGCTCCTCCTGTCTGCAGCTTTCCCGTGAATCCGCACCCCACCTCCTAGTTCTCCGCACGCAGCACTACGCCAGACTTGTTAGAATCAGCAGTAATAGTTCGTCGACGATGGATAGCGCCATGTGGCCGATTCTGATTCTTCTTGCCCCGCCGTTGGCGATGTTCGCTGGTGTTTTCTCTTTGTACCAGTTTTCGCAGCTGTATCTCCTGTTTGTGCGGATTGGTCTTCGGCCAAACGAAGGCGCATGGCGTTATGTCAGGCCGTATCACAGAAACATGGTCAGTACCTCTGATTATTTTGTCGCTGTGATTGTATGTTTATATTTTGTGTGTTGGGATTAAATCTTGTTCCTCCTTCGGCTCTGTCTTCGCACAGGTGAAAGTGCTCAACCAGACCCTGGGTGACGCTGACAAGTTCTTGTCCAAGATACAACCAACCCATGTCATCCTGTGTGCCATGCTGATCGTTCTACTGGTCCAGCTAGAGCGACTGATTAGTCAAGCAAGCGCTAACTCTCGCTCACGGCGCTAGCCTAGCTCGTCCAAATTTGAAGGCTACTAGTTTTCACCCCGGTTGCTGATGAGGATTTGACTGTTTGAGAGCAGCAATTAACTTCGAAATGAAGGTAATCTAACCAGGTGGAAACCTGCATGGAATAGCAGTTCACTGGTCAATTGTAGTAAGAATGTTAGCAAAGGCATAGATCAGAAGTAAATAATGTAACACGGTGTTAAGCATGTTACACGCTGTGCCTGAAGAATCTATAGCGGAAATGGATGAACCCTATGCTTTCCCAAAAATTCCACACCGATTTCCAACGAGGCGCGGATGGATACTCAGCTCGGCTTGGCAGACACCCCGCTTCCTCCGCAACCTCTCAGCTGCCGACAGCCACACAAGTCTGCGCTGCGCATTGCCCCCTGCCCCCCTGTGCTGTGTCTCCCCGCACATCACTTTCCCCACGCCTTGCATTCAACCCCTGCCGCTTCCGCCTGTTCATAGAGCGCGGAAGCACCGATATCATCCGGTCTGGTGGTTCGGCGCGCATACTGATATCCAGCAATTGGCACATCCTGACAGTCCAGACACAACACACCAGTCTCCAGAGAATTCAAACAGTACCTGGTGTAATCAGCTGGTGACAACAGATGCTGTGTTTGGTCCTAAACTTAGGACGTCTCGAGTGTGACCCAGAAAATGCACGGCTCTGTTTCGAATTGAGTGCTAAGTTTTATAGCTCTTCTTGAAAACTATCCATGGCGGAAGCGACTGTGGTAAGGTGGCATCGCGACAACCAGTCGCCAGGTCAGAACGTTCAGCGAACCAGCTCCGCACAGTCGTCGTCTGGCACGCCGCGTGACCATAACGCGGCCGTCTTATCGCCAGCATCAGTCGGACCATCGTCACGTCTCTCGCAACCTGGAAGGGAGAATCAGGGCCGGCAGCAGCAACACGCACAAATGTCTGCTAGATTTAGGTAGGAGTGTATCGCCATCAGTTTACAGTGGTTAGTTGCACGCACTCGATACAGATTACACATCGTTTTGCAACGACTGTAAGCTTTCGTTCAAGCTTAGTGTTTCTTCTTTAATGTTATCGGCCTGCATTTCTCGACTCCTAACGGCTCTTTCTTTCTACCGCGCACCCTCCTTGACTATCCCGCTGTCCTGTCCGCCATTCCCGTTTTCCGCCAGACACCCTCCTGGCGCAGCGGAGAGGCCGCGCGAAGCTGCGGAACGAACCAGCGGTGTAGGCAATTCCGCAAGGGAACGACCCGACGGCGTAGGGAAATCCGAAAGAGACCCCCTCGGGAGTTCTTCACATGTCACATCTGCTAGCACCCCACACGGTCACCATGGCCGAGGGAAGCTGGCCGTCGCGTTTCGGGACGACGACAATGAGGATGACGATGGGGAGTATTTAGACTGCGATGACGACCACGAGGCGATGTTCACCCCGCGGGCGATGTTCACCCCGTGGGAGAGCCACGCGATGGAGCCGCGAGACGCGCGCGACGGTGGACAGGCGGAGGAGGAGCGGGGGGAAGGGGGGTCGGCGGAGAACACGGAAGATGAGGAAGAGGAGGAGACGGATGATGATGATGATGATGATGATGAGGGGGATGAGGAGGATCAGGAGGAGGATGGGTCAGAGGATGGTGCAGAAGACGCGATTCGAGACGACAGCGATGTCAATCTGGCGGCCATGCGGAGTCTCAAAGCGTCGCGCAGCGGCAAGGGCATGGTGTCGTTCGCGGACCGGCGGAGGGGGAGCGCGGAGGACGGGGAGGAGGGGTACGGGGACGGGGACGGGGACGGGGACGGGGAGGGGGAGGGGGATGATGGGTACAACGAGGAGGCGGAGCAGCGGGAGAAGCTCGACCAGGAGGTTATTCAGGGTACGTGCGTGCAGCCGTCAGGTGATTCTTGAGTCAAGTCGAAGCTTGACCAGGGGGGTAATGAAGGTGCATGCAGCCGTCAGGAGCTTGAGGTGCCTTTGGTGACTATGTCTCAGGAGAAACTCCATCAGGAGGTTATTCAGGGTGTGTGCAGCGATTGGGAGCTTGAGATTCTGGTTGAGCTGAAGTGATTGATTAACCCAGGTGTTTGAGGACTTCCTCTTCTTCCTCTGCTACGCCTGTCTCTTCTCTCCCTCCTCTTTCTCCTCTACTCTTCAACCCCTTTTCCCCGTCTCCCTGTCCCTCCCTCTACCGCTCCCGCCCTCTCTCCCCTCATGCCCCCAACTTCCCCCTGAGCTCGTGAAGCACATGGGCGAGTTGACTTCTTCCTCTGCCCCTACCACACTGTGTTGTCGCTCCTCTCTCTCCGCGTTCTCCTCGCTCCTCTCTCTCCGCGTTCTCCTCGCTCCTCTCTCTCCGCGTTCTCCTCGCTGCCTCTCCTCTCTCCCTCCCAGCCATGTACGAGCGAGTGAAGCACATGGGAGAGCTAACACACAACTTTAAGAACCTCTTTGTCTTCCTCTGCTACACCTGCCTGCCTCTACCTCACCGTGCTCTCCGATCTCTCCCTCCTTCTTCTCACTGTCTCTCCTCTACCCCCCCTCCCCAGCCATGTACGAGCGAGTGAAGCACATGGGAGAACTGACAGACAACTTCAAGAACCTGTTCTTCTTCCTCTGCTACACCTGTCTCTACCCCACCGTCCTCATTTTCTCTCCCGCTCCCCGTTCTCTCCACCTCCTCCCCACCCCCCTTCCCAGCCATGTACGAGCGGGTGAAGCACATGGGAGAGCTGACGGACAACTTCAAGAATCTATTCTTCTTCCTCTGCTACACGTGCCTCTACCTCACCGTGCTCTACCTGCAAGCCGACGCCTCCATCTGCTACCAAGTCACCACCGCCCACAACGTGCTGCTGCCGCCCGTGCGTGTGGGGATGTGTGTTTAAGGAGGAGGGGAGAGTAAGGCGGGTAGTGTGCATATGTGTGTGCGTTTGTTCTCATGTCGCCTCCACCTGCTCACCACCGCCCACAACGTGCTGCTGCCGCCCGTTCGTGGGAGTGTGGGTCTGTGTAGAAGGGATGAGTGTTGCACGCATACAGGGGGGTGGGTGTGTGTGCATGTGTGCATGCATGCGTGACACGCGCATGTGTGCTTCATCTGTGCGCATTTGCCTGCGAACCCGAATCAGGCGTCGAACCCTCCCTGTCTCTCCCCCCCCCCCTCCCCCCTCCACCCACACCTGTCTTCATTCTAATGCCCAACTCACTCTCAGGACTACACGGCAGCAGCATCCATGACCATGAACAGTCCAGACGACTTCTACTCATGGATCAATGACAGCTGACACCTTTCCTCCCTCTCTCTCCTCTCCCTCCCTCTGCTCTCAGGACTACACGGCAGCAGCATCCATGACCATGAACAGTCCAGACGACTTCTACTCATGGATCAATGACAGCTGACACCTTTCCTCCCTCTCTCTCCTCTCCCTCCCTCTGCTCTCAGGACTACATGGCAGCAGCATCCATGACCATGAACAGTCCAGACGACTTCTACACATGGCTCAACGACAGCATCATACAGGTGCGTATGGTCGATGCTCTCCATCAATGCTCTCCATCCATCCATGGTCGATACCAGTCAGCAACAGCGCTGCCTCCCAATTCTGTCTGTTCATTCCTCTGCCTCCCAACAGCTGTTCATTCCCAATCGCTTACTACCCACCCCTCCCGCACTCCCACCGTGTGTTCCGCGTGAGCCATCGGCATCTTTATGTGCTTGTAAACGGCAGAGGCCTTAAAATTCCGCTGCTGTCTGCGCGTTACCCACTATCCACTCCCACTGCCCACCACAAACCCTCCCAGGTTGTGTGGAAGGACCCTCCCTTCCCTGTGGCAACGGCACCTGCGAGCGAGCGCCCTCTCGAGTTTGAAGCCTCTGGGCCACACCCCGCCGCCATACTCCCTTGTTCCACTCCCCCTTCCTCCCGCTCTTGCCTGCAACACACCAGGTGGTGTGGAAGGACCCTCCATGCGGCAACGGCATCTGTGAGCGCCCCCTAGAATTCGAAGCATTCGGCCGCTTCGGCTGCTCGGCGGACTGTGGGGACCTGGCGGCAGTGACGAGCGTGACAGTGCACCTCACTACCGACTTCCACTCTCCCACTGATGCCGCTGCCTCTTCCTGGAACCTCTGCCGCGACGCCCCCACCCCTCTCTGCTGGTGGGTACTCTCTTCCGCCCTCCCTTCTCTTGCCTCTTGCCTCTCTGCTGGTGTGCCTCTGCCTGCCTTTTTTCCCTCTCTGCCCTCGACGCTGCTGCCTCCTCCTGGAACCTCTGCTGCGACACTCCATCCCCTCTATGCTAGTTTCCCCCCACCCGCCCTCCCCTCTATGCTGGTTTCCCCCCACCCGCCCTCTCCTCTATGCTGGTTTCCCCCCACCCGCCCTCCCCTCTCTGCTGGTACCCCTTTGGCCCCCTGACTGCTGCTATCTCTCCATTCTCTGCCCTCGCCTCTCTGCTCCTTCCGCGCTCCACCCTCCTTCCCACTCCCCCCCCCTCACGTCACCAGGTACGCAGAGGGTCACCAGTTGACAGAGCTGGCATCGGACATACAAGGCAACGCATGATCGCTCCTCCGTATGTTTCTGTTGCTGGTCAATCCCTCTTTCTCACCCATCACCTTACCAGGTACTCAGAGGATCACCAGTTCACAGAGCTGGCATCGGATATGCAAGGCACGCTCGCTCGTACAACACACGTTGCAACTTCTCCCTCTGTTCCCGGAGCCACTTCACCCCTTTTCACGCCGTTTCACCCTTTTTTTATCGCCAGGTACGCAGAGGACCAGCAGTTCACAGAGCTAGCATCGGACACGCAGGTCACGCTCGCACTGCCAGACGGCTCGTGGTCTCTCGTGCTCAATGCGCCGGGGGGAGGCATCGCCGGCACCCTCCGACTCACCGGCAGCAGAAACGCCGCTTTTGCTGCTGCTGCAGTCGCTGCTGCTGGTTTTGGAGGTAGCAGCAGCGGCAGCGGAAACAGCAGCAGCAGCAACAGTGGCAGCGGTGACAGTATTGGCGGTATTGGGAAGGTGCTGGTGACGTGGGGAGGATGCCAAACGTCAGACCTCACTCCCTTGTCCGAATGCCGATCGGTGAGTGAGACAGTGTGGGACAGTGTGAGAGAGTGTGTGAGACATGCCCCTTTGATGCATGCCCCTCCCCACACACTTTTTGCACATACCCTTCTCACACACCCCTCTCATTGCCCCTCTCCCTTGCATTCCTGCCTGCAGGCCTGCTTGTGCTTTACAGGCTTCTTGGTCGGCTAGTGTTTTGATACCTCACCCTGCTGTTCTAATTCGGCCTCTCCCCTCTCCTCGCCCTCGCCCTCCCTATCCTACCCACAGGCCTGCTTGCAATGCAGGCTGTCTGGCCAACTACTGTGGGGGCGGAGAGGGTACTCCCGTCCCCTGCCATGCAGGTCCCAAGTTCTCTCCCCCTTCTCACCCCCTCCTCTCCTACCTGCCTGCAGGCCTGCTCGCGTTTTGCAGGCTGTCTGGCCAACCACTGTGGGGCGGGAGGGTACTCCCCAGCAGCACTCTCCTCGCTCTTTGTCACCTGCGCCTCTGCCTGCAACGACAACTCCTCCCTGCCCTTCCTGCCCTTTAGTGACTTCTCTTGCGCTGAGGTAAGGGAGTCGACTCATGGGTTGAAATGCACACATCACCTCGCTAGCATGCCTTCTTGGTTCCCTCTTTTGCACATGCGCCTCTGCCTGCAACAACAATTCCTCCCAGCCTTTCCTGGCTCTAACAGTACTTTCTTGCGCTGACGTGCAATATATATTATACTGCTGTGCTGTGATTGCACTTTCTCGCCATTCCTTCACATTCACTCCCTCCCCCACTCGCTCACTCTATCACAATAGCACTCGCATCCACTCTCATTGCATGTCCGTTCCCACTGCCACCATCCCATTGAGCCTTCCTTTGCCCATGTTGCCATGCCCCATCCCTCATATTCTCAGCCCTGCCCCTCTACCCCTGCCTCCATGCCCCTCTGCCCCTGTCACGATGCCCCTCTGCCCCTGTCACGATGCCCCTCTGCCCCTGTCACTATGCTCCCCTCCATTGTCATTACTATGCCCCTCTACGCTCTGCTCCTCTCGCCGCACAGATAATCAACGCCACTGCAGACAGCCTTGCAGGCTTCCAGTGCTCCTGTGAGCCTCCATGCCCTCTTGCTTGTTCTCTCCCTCACTTGCTCTCTCACCTTCCTCGCTTCCTTTCTTCTTGCTTGTGTGAGTTTGCCCCAAAACGGAAAAGAAAACAAAAACAGAATAAACTTTAGAATGTGCATGAAGTGTTAACACTCTGCATCTTCTTGCTCTCACTTGTCTCGTTTCCTCTCCTCTCCTCTCCCTTCCTCTACCCTCCCCTCCCCTCCCTTCTCTCTTGTCTCCTCTCCTCATCGCCCCTTCTCTCCTCTGCTTTCGTCTCCTCTCTCCCCTCTCCTCTCCTCTCCTCCCCTCTTGTCTCCTCTCCTCTTCACTCTCCTGCTCTCCTCTTCTTTTCTCCTGTTGTCGTGCTCCTCTGTGCCCCGCGTTGCTCTTTCAGACCCCCCCAACTCAACGCTCACCACAGGGGTAGGCATACAACCCACAGGTTCCCCCTTCCATTTAACCTCGCACTTATCCATAACCCTTCTCGCCTGCCCCTCCCGTCACCTCTTCTCTGCCTCTTTCGTTTTGTGTTGTGTTCCAAGCATATTCCTCACCCCCCCTTGCGCTTTTTTCAGCTGCAGTCACACCCATGCCTCCCTTTTCTCGCTCTGCTTTTTCCCATCCTCTCGGCATCTCAAACCATTGCATCAAAGTGCGAAACGTCTTTCTTTCCGCCCTCTCCCCTTGTCTTCTCCTTGCTGACTTTTGCGCCATCCCTTCCCCGATGCTCCTATTCTCACACCTTTCTTCAGCTCGCACCCCTTCTCAACCCTTCTCACCCTTTCCTCGCCCATTCCTACCTATTCTCACACCTTCTCATTCTTCAGAGGAAGGCTCGGAGCCTCTGGGAGCAGGCAGCACAGGCTGTCAGCCAAACCTCTTCGTGGCACCAGGCTCGGCAGCAGGCTCGGCTCCAGGGCCGGAAACGCCTGGCAGAGGTCACTGCTACTGCTGCTATTGCCTCTTCGCTTGCTGCTTTGCCTGGTGGGTAAGAATGCATGAGTGTCGGCCCTTTTTTGAGGTGCTTTGGAAATTTGGTACTGTGAAGCACCTAAAAAGCGCACTAGTGTCGATTGTTTTTTCCCATCACACCACCACTCCCTGCCCGCTCTCCAAGAGCACACCCACGACTGCACCTCCTAACCACCCCTTCCCCTCACCCCTTCCCCTCACCCCCTCCCGCACGCCCCCCCCCCCTCCAGGCAACGCCACAAGCATCTGGACTCACCTTGGCTCCACCGACTCTCAGCGAATCACGAGCCTCCACGTGGCAGTCGCCCGAGCCCTCTACACAGCTGTCAAGGACGACTGCCTCGTTGGCTCCCCCCTCTTCTCTCCCCGGGCCAACCCCTCCCCTCCCTCCCCTCCCTCCCCTCCCTCCTCTCCCTCCTCTCCTTCCTCTCGCTCCTCTCTCGCCTCCACTCGCCGCTCCACGCGCCCCTCCTCCCCTGCTATTCTCCCGCCTGTCATCCTCTCCCTGTCCTCTCGGTCCCGCCTTGCTGCTTTCCTCTGCGTGCTCTTTGCTGGGGAGGAAGCTGCTCGGAAAGTGCCCGAGTGCAAGTACACTTCATCGTGGGACGGGCGGCAGCTGGTGTCTGCTTCTGAGCTGGCGGCCGACGTGCCTTGGACTGTTGCGCTGTGAGTTGCCTAATTTCTAGGCTAACTCAGATCGCAATGCAGGTGTTGTGGTTCAATGTGGTGGGGTTGCATACTGTTGCTTTTGAGAATTCTCAAAAGCAACACCGATTCCAATCACCTTCTCTCTCCTCTCTCTGCTTTTCTCAAATTGCCTACACTGCATCCGCTCTCTGCTATTCCTTTGCTTTCTCCCGACTAAAAACCTGCAATTGAACGTCTATCTTGCATGTCCCTCCCTTTCTCACTCCGTTTCTCGCTCTCCCTCCCTTTACTCACTCCTTTTATCATTCTCTTCTTCAACTCACTGTGCATACCCACTGCAGCAATCAGACGTATCAATTATCTCGGGACCAGGCGGCGCGTTTCGTCCTTCTCCTCACCGCAGCGCTCAAGTCCGTCGTTCTGTTGCCGGACGATGACGTGGCAGATGCCGCCCGGTTGCTGCATGCACTCGACGCTGTGGTCGTGGACCCGTCTCTGCCTTCCTGCGGTACCACCGGTGAGTGTGGTGTGGGGATGGTTGGGGATGGGGCGGGGGGGGAATTGGGATGATTGGGATCAGGACGGGTGAGTTGTCTGCTCCTCCCTGCCTGCGGCACCACTGGTGAGTGTGGGGATGGAAGAGGGGATGGGGATGGATGGGGATGGTGGGTGTGGTGTGGGTGGGGAGGGGACGGTCTCTCATCTCATGTCACTCCCCTGTGTGTCTTACGGTTTACCATGTGTGCCATACACGCTGCCATGCCCCACCACCAGCCACGGGTCCCACAGTGATGTGGAGGACGAGCAGGCAACCCAGCACGATGGTGCTTTCTCCCTGGTGTGCCATGCCATGCCATGTCATGCCCCACCACCAGCCACAGGTCCCACAGTGATGTGGGGGGCGAGCAGGCAGCCCAGCACGATGGTGCTTTCTCCCTGGTGTGCCATGCCATGCCATGTCATGCCCCACCACCAGCCACTGGTCCCACAGTGATGTGGGGGGCGAGCAGGCAGCCCAGCACGATGGTGCTTTCTCCCTGGTGTGCCATGCCATGCCATGTCATGCCCCACCACCAGCCACTGGTCCCACAGTGATGTGGAGGACGAGCAGGCAACCCAGCACGATGGTGCTTTCTCCCTGGTGTTCCATGCCATGCCATGTCATGCCCCACCACCAGCCACAGGTCCCACAGTGATGTGGGGGGCGAGCAGGCAGCCCAGCACGGTGGTGCTGACTGCCTTGTATTCCATGCCACGACATCTGGCTCGTCTCAAGTCTCTCCCTTGTGTGTTTTGCCATGCCCCACCACCAGCCACAGGTCCCACAGTGATGTGGGGGGCGAGCAGGCAGCCCAGCACGGTGGTGCCGGTGGGGGAGCGAGTCACATGGGTGTGGGCGGATGGGCAACCCCATGCCATCAACGGTGGGTGCACCTACTGTTGCAGCGCTGAATCTCCTTACCATGCTGTGCTGTGTGCATGCATTGCCTTGCAATGCCATGCAATGGCATGCCAGTGGAGGAGCGAGTCTCATGGGTGTGGGCGGACAGCCAGCCGCATGCCATCAATGGTGGGTGCACCGTGCATCTACTTTTGCAATGCGAATCTCGTGCCCATGCTGTGTGTTCCATGCACTACCATGCAATGCCATGCCGGTGGGGTCGGTGAGCCTGTCACCTCTCCTTTTCCCTCTCCCCACACCATGGATCTTACATTGCTCTTTCTCCATTCATCCTTCCCTCCCATACCCGTTTTTCGAACCTCATTCGATTGATCCCTCTTTCCCCGTGTATCTTTTTTTCTTTCACCTGCCCCATCAGTGGCGGGATTCAGGGACGCAGCAGCGATTTCCCTCTAGTTTTGACACGTACTCTCAAAGCTCAAACCTGTTTAATCACTCTCCCCCCCTCGCCTCCTTTTTTCCACCTCCCCGCCTTCAGTGGCGGGGTTTGGGGATGCAGCATCCACTCCTTTCTATGGCATGGGCAGCGGCCGGTTGGTCTTGAGTGCTGACGTGGCATGCAGTGCGGAGAACGTGGGGACCACGGCGACGCTCATCAACGGCTCACACGCGTCCACCGCTGATCCTGCGCCCTGTGTCCTCAGTGGGTTGGGTTGGGGGACCTGTGCAGTCGTTTTCCCATGCTCCCGTGCTCCCATGCCCCCTCGCGTTCCTGAACACATGAACCCACCCACACATTCAATCCCCTTGTTCACTCACTCAAGGCTCCATCCATCATCCCCCCCCTCTGAGCTCACTCTTTTCTGCATGGCCACTTGCAATTTCAACTCCTTCACCCGCCTACTTCCTCACTCCCTCCTTCCCCCCTCACTCTCACACTGTTCTCCCCCCTATCATCGCAGGTCCCACCACCAGCGCTGCTGCCTCGTCCCCCCCCATCCCCTTCTCCTACACCACGGTCTTCCCTGTGCCCGGGACCTTCGTCTACGAGTGTTCACGCATGGGGGAGCCTACGCGAGGCTCTGTCACCGTTCTCCCCCTCTCTTCCTCCTCCTCTGCCTCTTCGCCGTCCTCCCCCTCCTCACCCTCCTCTGCCTCCCGTTCCCGCGCCGCCGTTGGTCAATCCAGCAAGCCAATAGAATGTGCGCCAGGCTGCCTCCTCTCCTCGCTAGCAGACGGAAAATGCAACCCATCTTGCAACGTCGACACGTGTGCTTTTGACGGCGGGGACTGCTCATGCGCCCTGCCGTCCACGTCCGTTCCCGAGCCTGCACCCGTAGCTTCAGGCTCGGTCCCAGGCTCGGGGTTAGGTCCGGTGGGATTCGTGGCCCGGCCGCAGTACTGTCCCTGTCCTCCGGGACAGGTTCGGTCAGACGAAGGAGGTGAGTGATAGGGTGTTGGGCGGTGATGGGCGGTTGGGATGGGCGGTGGGGGGAAGATGGGCGGTGGGTGGTGATAGTTTGGTGGGGAGTTTTGATGCACCTCACAAGTGGTCTGCTCTGCCCGCAGTACTGCCCCTGTTTTCACTGACAGGTTCGGTCGGACGAAGGAGGTGAGTGATACGGCGGCTGGTGGTGATGGGTGGTGGGTGCAGATGGGCAGTGGGAAGGGATGGGTGGTGGGGAGAGATGGGAAGATGGTGGAAATTGGAAAGTATTGAGGCAACACATGAATAGCCACTTGGTCAGCCAGATGGTGAGCAGCAGTGACCATTTCATCTCCCAGTTTCTGTCCCAACACCTGCTTTCCAGTCCCCGCTTTCCAATCCCCGCTTTCTGCCACCAACTTTTGCACCCTTTTTCGGCACCAGACTCATTCCTCACCCTCCTTCCACTTCCCCCCCTCTCCCTCTCCACTTACCTCGATTGCATGGCCCCCCTCCACCCAGCATGCTGCATGACGTCAGCCATAGGGGATGGCCTCTCCTTCCCCTTCACCCTCGACATGTTCTCAAATGCCACGTCAGCAGCCATGTCTGCTGGCAATGCCACGTCAGCAGCTGCGTCGGCTGCTAATGCCACGTCAGCAGCTGCGCCTGGTGCCGCGGCTGCGGGCAATGCGTCGTCAGCAAACGGCACGGAGGAGGTGGCGTTGTCTCGCTTCGTGGCGGAACAGAACAGGTGGGGTGGGGGGAAAGGGGGGGAGAGGGGGAGGGGAGATGGCTATGCTTGCACCACTCTTGAAATTCTTAAAAGGAGGTGGCGCTGTACCTAGTGGCGGACCAGAGCAGGTGAGGAAGGGGGAGGCTGAGAGAGGAGGAATGGAGAAGGGGAGGGGAGAGGGGGAGGTTAGGTGTTCAGGAGGTGTGAGACGGATGGACAGAGAAGAGAGGGTATGAAAAAAGTATAGGATAACTAGCTGTTTCTGTAGGGTAGCCCTGGCCAGATGACTGGGTACAGCTAGAGGCAGGACCGGGTTTTTTAGTGCTTTCTATCTACTAACTGACGTTGAGCCTGCTTCCATGGGGCATTCTTGTCGTGCTGCACGGCACATGGTGCATTGTGCATGGCATGTGGTGCATGGCATGTGGTGCATGGCATGTGGTGCATGGCAGGGTGCTGATAGGACTGAAAATCGAGCAGACCCGGTGGGACGCTGTAACCTGCCAGCCATACAGGTCAGCCGGACACCTATCCAGGTCAGCATGTCCACCATCCAGGTCAGTATGTTAGCCATCCAGGTCAGCATGTTAGCCATCCAGGTCAGCATGTTAAACATCACCCCCCCCTCCCTCCCCGTGCTTCTCTCCTCTCCATCCTTGATTCCCCTCACTTCCACTTTCTTGCTTTAAGTTGCCTCAAATCTCCATTCTCTGCTTCCTCCCCTCCACCCCGGTTCTCATCCCTCTTCCACCACTGCATCAGCAGCATGTGCACCTGCCGGCATTAACAACGTGTTCAGAGGACTCTCCCTCTCAACACGCCCAACCCCCTCTCTTCCCCCTTCCACTTTCCCTCTCCACCCCCGAGGTCCACTTCTAACTTCCTGCACTGCATGAACGGCATGTCCACTGCAGTCCCAACCGTTCAGCAAGCAAGCTCCCAACCTCTCTCTCCCCCTCCTCTCCCTCCCACCCATCCCCCAGGTTCTCCTCCCTCTTCCAAAACTGCATGAACCGCATATCCACAGCTCCCTTTGGCGTCAACCCACACTTCCTGCCCTCGTCCTCGCTCTACCTCCCTGACGCCTACGTGGCGCTCAACGACTCGTTAACCAGCGCTGACGTGGACACCATGCAGCCAATCGCGACGCGGCCTGACGGCGTGCCATATGGCTTCCAAGTCGCCAAGGTGAGTGCCTCTTCTCGCCAGCCTCTTCTCGCCAGCCTCTTCTCGCCAGCCTCTTCTCGCCAGCCTCTTCTCGCCAGCCTCTTCTCGCCAGCCTGGCAAGAGCGTGGTCATGGCACCAAGCAATCTGGCACCAGCCCCCAACCCCTCCATACCACCAGGCGAACGAGAGGGTATTCCCGGTGATATTCGACATCAATCTGGACAACGAGGCGGCCACGCAGCGCCTGCAGTATCTGGCGGACAGCTTCTTCATCGACAACGCCACGCAGTCCGTGTCCGTCGCCATGCTCACCTACAATGGTGCGTGAGTCTGTGTGGTGTGTTGTGCTGTGAAGATAGCTACCTTTTGAGGCACCTCAAAAATGGGCTCAGGCCCAGCGCACACAACAGCGGTGGTGGCATGCTCCGTCGCCATGCTCACCTACAACGGTGCGTGCGTGTGCTCATGATCCTTGCCTTGCAATGATAGCATTGTCTTTGCTCTCTTTCTCCCTTTTCTCCCTTTTCTCCCATTTCCTCCTGATCCTGCACATTCTGCTCGCTCTTTGTGCCTTGCTTTTGCTTCCCCTTAGAATGTCATTTTGATCGGCTCATGTGTTTCCTTCCCTGGCACAACACCTCTTGCATCGACTTATAAGTTTTTCCTTCTCTTGCAATACCCCCTGTTACACCCTCCACCCACCCACCACAGGCGACTCCAGTCTGTTTGTGTACACCACCGTGAAACTCAACTTTGAGGTCAGTTCACAGCTGCTCCACACTTGTCCCATGTACAGCCCCTTGTTGCACCATCCCGCACTGTTATGACACCCGTTCAGGGGGTGTGCGGCCCAATTTTACACAACAATGGCATTAAACATTGAAGTTCTTAGAGGGTTGCTTGCGGGTACGATTCCACAGCCTTAATCAAACTGCGTCGTTCTAAGCATTGAAGTTCATACGCAGTCTGAGGGTGTGGAGTGGTTTCGTAGAGGGCTGCGGAATGTAGTGCTAGCAGAAATCCACTTTCTCCTACCTGCATTCCTGTTGGATCGACACCTGGAGCTCACCCTCTCCTTTGGGGTGAGATCGCAGTGACATACACCCTCCTCCCTCTTCTTGTGTCCTGAGGTGACTGCTGAATCAGCCTGAAAGCATTCTCTCTCTCCCTACCTCTCCCCACAGATCGGCGGCAAGATAGCAGTGACATACAATGTGGACCCGGTGGACGTGGAGCTCTACTCGTCCAGTGCCGACTGTGCGGCTGACTGTGATGGTGCTGTATGTGTGCGCCGTGGTCCATTATTGAGGCCCCTTCCCCTCTCCATCGCCCTCTCCCCCCCCTCTCCCCACAGATCGGGGGCAAGATAGCAGTGACGTACAATGTGGACCCAGTAGACGTGGAGGGCTCTACTCCTCCAGTGCCGACCGGCGACTGGGTGAACTTGAGGCATCTTAAACATAGACCCACCCTCAACCCCCTCCCCACAGATCGGGGGCAAGATCGCAGTGACGTACAACGTGGATCCGGTGGACGTGGAGCTCTACTCGTCCAGTGCCGACTGGGTGCGCCTCACAGTGTCGGTGCTGTACGTGTGCGCGGTGGTGTGGAACCTCATAGAGGAGCTCGTGGAGGCGTTTCAGTGCTGGCTGGAGACAGGCAGGGTGAGTGCGTGAGCTCAGTTGTGCTCCTCTGATGGCTTGAGACCGGGAGAGTGAATGGGTGCTGCTTCTGTAATTTGATGCCGGCCTTTCCTCGCCTCAAATGCCATTCCTTCTCCCTTACGGAACCTTGCGTTCTCTCCCTCCCCTCCCCTCCACTTCCCTTCCCCCCATCCCCTCAGATCACATCATACTTCCGAACGCTGTGGAACTGGCTGGATGTGCTCTCACTCACCATCCAGTTCATCGGCATCATCATGTGGTGAGTGGATTGGTGCGCAAGTGGTGAGTAAGTGGCGTGGTGAGTAGTGGCTGGATGTGCTCTCTCTCACCATCCAATTCATCCGCATCCTCATGTGGTGGGACATGGCAATGGGAGAGCAAGTGAACAATTTTATGTAGAGACGGCTTTTGAGGCGCCTCAAAAGTCAGTGCAACAGGCCGGCCCTTTCCAAATGCTTTCTTAGTCGTCTCAAAGCATCCCCCCCCCTCATCTCCACCGCATCCCACCGCACCGCTCTTAACCCCCACGTACTCCTTCCTTCCCCCTGCGCAGGTTCATCATATCAGTGCAGATGGCCGGAGGCTTCCAGGTGCAGCCTCGATACGACATCTACGTCACGGGGGACTCGCCCTTTGTCTGGCGGGTGAGTCGATGCGACACACTACATGTGTTGCCTCATCTGTATGCATACTCCTCTCCGTCCATCCAGGTGCAGCCTCGCTACGACATCTACGTCACGGGGGACTCGCCCTTCGTCTGGCGGGTAGGCCGGTTTCATACAGCGTGCTGTGCGGGATGGGTTGGCGCACAGTTGTCTTGCCGTGTAGGAAGCATACATACTTGTGTCATGCATGAACAGGACGTATCCGGGAATAACACAAGTATGTATGCAGCTGCCCGGATCCGTCCAGGTGCAGGCTCTTGCTGCAGCATCTGCGTCACTGGGGACTCGCCCTTCGTCTGGCGGCGGGTAAGTTCTTTCAATGCAACGTGCATTGGCCTTGCGGGGTAAAGCTTTCCACATCGTGTGCCCTTCTTTGTTCTCTGCGTTTTCCCTCCCCCTTCGTTCCTTCTTCCTCCATCCGCTTATTCCCCACCCACCCCAACAGCTGCAATACACCCAGTGGGCTACGAGCAAGTGCAGGCAGTATACCGCTTCCCCGTCTCCCACACACCTCCCCCCTTGTTCTCTGCAGTATACCACTCTGTGAGGGACGAACCACGTGGTATACTGCACAGAGTGGTATACTGCACAGAGTGGTATACTGCCTGCGCAGTGGCCTCTACTTTTTTCTCCCTGCACATCCCTTACCGCTTCCCCGTCTCCCACACACCTCCCCCCTTGTTCTCTGCAGTATACCACTCTGTGAGGGACGAACCACGTGGTATACTGCACAGAGTGGTATACTGCACAGAGTGGTATACTGCGCAGAGTGGTATACTGCACAGAGTGGTATACTGCCTGCGCAGTGGCCTCTACTTTTTTCTCCCTGCACATCCCTTACCGCTTCCCCGTCTCCCACACACCTCCCCCCTTCCTCTCCCCAACAGCTGCAGTACCCCCCAGTGGGCTACGAGCAAGCGCAGGCAGTATACGAATCCATTCGCAACCTCGTGCAGTGGCGCTCCATCCTCGTGTCGCTGCAGGGCATCAAGTGAGTGCGCCTCAGAGAGCACTATTAGGAGCTTAATGGATGGCGCTGCAGCAGCGCATCAAGTGATTCTCTCTTAGAGAGTACCAATAGAGCTGTAGCCACGCGTGACGTGTGTTTTTGCATAGGATAAATTGAGTGTGGAAGAATCGTAGGGAATCATAGAGATAGTCTTCAACCCACCCCATCCTCTAGCGTCGTTCTCTTCCTCATCCACGTACACACACACCCTGCCATCCTTCAACGTCCTCCACCGTCTGCTCAGGCTAATAGACTTCCAGCCACGCATGCCCATAATCTAACCTCCTGTTGCCCTTTCTTCTGTCGCTTTTCTCCCGTCTTACTCGCTGTCCCCACTCTCAGCGTCTTCCTCTTCCTCCTCCGTCTGCTCAAGCTGATGGACTTCCAGCCGCGCATCGCCATCCTCACGCGCACCATGGCAGCAGCCTTCCCGGCCCTCGTGCACTTCTTCCTGCTCTGGGCGATCATGTTCATCGGCTTCTCTCTCTACGCCTATGTGGTGTTTGGTCGAACCTTGGAGCAGGTATGATGCTTGGCATAGAGCAGTGCTAGCCGGTGCAGTGCTGTGAAGCAGGGTGTGGGGCAGCCTTCCCGGCCCTCGTGCATTTCTTCCTGCTCTGGGCGATCATGTTCATCGGCTTCTCTCTCTACGCCTACGTCGTGTTCGGTCGAACACTGGAGCAGGTACGTCGCTGGGCATAGAGTGGTGTTAGCAGGTTTGGCAGGTGCAACAGGTGGGGAGAACTCCCTGCCCCTCGCTTTCCCCACCCTCCTCATCAACCACAACAGCACCAGATACTCCTTGGCTTCTACTCTTATGTCCAAAACCCTCGCCTTTCTTCCCCATTCACTCCTCTTCCCCCCCTCCACCCTTTCCATTCCACTTGCAGTTCCAGTTCAGCACAGTGGCGATGTCGATGGTCTCCTGCTTCCTCATCCTGATCAACCACAGCAGCACCGGCTACTACTTCATCCCTCCCTCCTCTTGTGACCAAACAACTCTCCCTCTTCCCCCCATTCACCCCTCTCTCTCCCCTCCCGCAGTTCAGCACAGTGGCGATGTCGATGGTCTCCTGCTTCCTCATCCTGATCAACCACAGCAGCACCGGCTACTACTTCATCCCTCCCTCCTCTTGTGTCCAAAAAACTCTCCCTCTTCCCCCCATTCATCCCTCTCTCTCCCCTCCCGCAGTTCAGCACAGTGGCGATGTCGATGGTCTCCTGCTTCCTCATCCTGATCAACCACAGCAGCACCGGCTACTACTTCATCCCTCCCTCCTCTTGTGACCAAACAACTCTTCCTCTTCCCTCCATTCACCCCTCTCTCTCCCCTCCCGCAGTTCAGCACAGTGGCGATGTCGATGGTCTCCTGCTTCCTCATCCTGATCAACCACAGCAGCACCGGCTACTACTTCATCCCTCCCTCCTCTTGTGTCCAAAAAACTCTCCCTCTTCCCCCCATTCACCCCTCTCTCTCCCCTCCCGCAGTTCAGCACGGTGGCGATGTCGATGGTCTCCTGCTTCCTCATCCTGATCAACCACAGCAGCACCGGCTACTACTTCATCCCTCCCTCCTCTTGTGTCCAGAAAACTCTCCCTCTTCCCCCCATTCACCCCTCTCTCTCCCCTCCCGCAGTTCAGCACGGTGGCGATGTCGATGGTCTCCTGCTTCCTCATCCTGATCAACCACAGCAGCACGGGCTACTACTTCATCCCTCCCTCCTTTTGTGTCCAAAAAACTCTCCCTCTTCCCCCCATTCATCCCTCTCTCTCCCCTCCCGCAGTTCAGCACAGTGGCGATGTCGATGGTCTCCTGCTTCCTCATCCTGATCAACCACAGCAGCACCGGCTACTACTTCATCCCTCCCTCCTCTTGTGTCCAAAAAACTCTCCCTCTTCCCCCCATTCACCCCTCTCTCTCCCCTCCCGCAGTTCAGCACAGTGGCGATGTCGATGGTCTCCTGCTTCCTCATCCTGATCAACGACAACAGCACGGGCTACTACTTCATCCAGCTGGAGGGGTGGAACCTCACAGCAGCCATCATCTTCTGGGTCGCCTACATCAGCGTCATGGTCTTCGTCATGCTCAACGTGCTCATCGCTATTGTGGTCGATGCTTTCTTGGAAGTCAGGGTAAGCTTCCTCAACCACCCCAACCACATCATCGCATCGTATGGGTCGCCTACATCAGCGTAAAGGTCTTTGTCATGCTCAACATGCTCATCGCCATTGTTTGTGGACACGTTCCTGGAAGTCGGAGTAAGCTCCTACCTCTTCAACCTCCCCGTGCCTAGGTCAAGTTCCATCGCTTGAACCTCCACACGTCATTGCGTTGCACTGCTTCGCATTTTTCTTTAGGATTCTCAAAACACAGATTCTGGGAAGTGCAGGTGTCTTCAGTCCGTTCACACGCCTCCTCCCTTGCCTTCCCCCCTGTGCCAACCGTCCCTTCTCCGTCCCTGCCCCTCTTCCCTGCCATTGCCCTCTCCCTCATCCCTCCATTCCTTGCACCCAGAATTCCACTTACGTTTCGCCAGCGTTCCCCATGGACATGTGGTATGTGTGTGGAGACTTGAACAACTGATTCCTCCCCTCCTCAATCTTTCCCTTCCTCCCTTCTCCCACCCTACTCCCCTCCAATCAGAAATCTACAGAAGATTCACCGGCATTTCCAGTGGACATGTGGTATGTCATGTGCAACGTGCTGCTGCGCCTCTCAACGGACTACTGGATACTGGAAGCAAGCACTGATTCCACCTCTCTCATTCTCTCCCTTCCTCCCTCCCCCCCCCCCCCCCCCCTCCCCCCCGCCACCCCTTTCTTGCAACCAGAAATCTACGGAAGAATCGCCAGCGTTCCCAGTGGACATGTGGTATGTGCTGCGCAACGTGCTGCTGCGCCTCTCAACGGACTACTGGAAGCCAGGACGGCTGCAGCGGCACCTGCTCATGCTGGGCGCAGAGGACGTTGACGTTACGGTGAGAGCAGGGTAAACTCGTATTTCTTAGGTGGACTCACAACAGGCTAACGGAAGCCGGGACGACTGCAGCACCACTTGCTCATGATGGCGTAGAGGACGTCGATGTAACGGTGAGAATATGATAGGCTGTGGTGTGGTGTGGTGCCGGTTGTGGCTTGTGGGTGGCATGTGAGCAGTTCTCTCTCCTTTGCTGTCCAGTCAATGTTCTAGTAGTGTTTTCGTGTTTTAGTGTTCATACACTTAAGGTGAGAGATTACTATCCTTGCTTCCTTTTAGTAGTGGTAGCTGCTGGTTTGGGTAAGTGTTGTGTATGAAGGCGCGCAGGTGCATATCCCTAATATAAAGCCAAAGCATTATCCGATGCTCGATACGAGTTTTGCTATTGATGTCCGCGTGATTGATCCAGATGCTAGCAAGTGTAAGTGTAGTCTATGTTTCCGCTGCCTATGTCACTTACCTAAAGGTGCATTCTCAAGCTTAACGATTGACTTGACAATGACAAATTAAGAAACATCAGCAGGTCGCCTGCTGCGGCTTGACTTGGACTCAATCTACCCTGTGAGCACTTTTGACGCGCCTCAAAAGTCAACCTTACCCTGTGAGCACTTCACATAGAGTCTCCTGCCTGCTCAGCTTGAGAGTGCACCTTTAGGTAAGTAACCTAGGTAGAGGAAACAGAGACTAGCTAGCATTTGGATAAATCACACGGACATCAACAGCAAAACTCATACCAAACATCGGATGATTCTTTGGCTTTATATTAGGGATATGCACCTGCGTGCCTTCATATCTTAGTTGAGAAAGACGCTCGGAGGACGCTGCGTCCTGCGTCTGGACGCACGGACGCAGGGCGCGTGTCCAGACGCAGGACACACTGCAAAAAAAAAAATCGGGCTGCCCGAATTTTTTTCTTACGGTATTTACCAGCAGGCCCGCGAAGAAAAAGGCTGCGCAATGAAATCGTGATTCGCGATTTCGATGCACATTATTGGTGTCAAGGTGGGGTGCGTAGTCGCAGGATGTAGAGATTGGAGAGGTTGGGTTAGGTAGAGTGGATGGGATTTAGTGTGGTTCAGGGATTTTAGGTTGACTGGATCTGGCGGATTTGTTTGCTAGAAACAGTCGTCCCAGGTTTCCCGTCCCCATCACCCCCTGCCATACGATTTGAGTACCTTTCCAATGTTATCGCTCCTAGACTCACGCAAAAACTTAGTTGTGAATGATGTTGGTCGTAACTGGTTGTAACTGGTCGTAACTGTTGGCAGGAACATTTTTTGCCTGCCCGGGGGGGTTTTTTTGCCCTGCCCGGCCATGCGTCTTTTGGTGCGTCTCTCTGGTCCTGGTGCTGCGTCCTGCGTCTGGACACATGCGTCTAAGACGCAGGACGCGTCTTTCTCAACTAAGCTTCATATACAGCACTTACCCAATACGGATGGTGACTTCTCGCCCCAAATGCATGAACACTATGGACAAAACACGAAAACGCTGCTAGAAGGTTGACTTGACCGCAGAGGGTTGTTCACATGTCATCCACAAGCCACAACCAACACCACCACACTCTCATAGCCTATTCTACTCACAAGGCACCTACTTGTGCAGGGGAGGGTGAAAATGGATACATAATGGTGAGAATAGTCTACCGCTTCTGCCCTAATACCATGAGGAAAACATCTTAGAAGATAAGCCTCTGTGAGCTTTCAAGTCCATTGCATCCATCAAACAAAGGCGTCTTCAGGCGTTTTCGTCTTGTCCCTCATCCCCTCCGTTCCCTTTCCAGCCTTTTTCTCTCCGCAGCCTGCGCATTTGATGGTGGCCAAGTCAGACACGGTCGCGACCCTCAACGAAGGCTTCAGCAAATTAGCTGCTGCTGCCTTTCTCATTCTTTCCCTCCTTTCCTCCCTTCCCCTCCCTCTTTCCCTCTCTCCCTCTCTCCTCCTCCCTAGCTTGAGGATTCGGTGGTTGCCAAATCAGTGGCAGCTTTCAAGGAACGCTTAGATCGAGTCAACCGCTGCTGCCTTCTCATCCATTCCCTCCTTCCCTCCCTTCCCCTCCTCACCCCCTCTCCCTCTCTCTCTCCTCCTTCCCAGCTCGAGGATTCAGTAGTGGCCAAGTCAGCCGCAGCTCTCAAAGAAGGGTTCAATCGAGTCAACAGATGGTGGAGAGGCTTCGGGCGAAGCAAGCCGCGCGCGCGCAGGGTGCTGCGGGTGGGCAAGCGCTGCTTGAATGCCGATGCGCTGCTGGGGGTGCTGGAGCGCTGTGCTGCCAACAAACCTCCTGGGAGTGACTCCGTGCGCAGAGGCTTCAGCTTCAAACGCCAGGTGAGGGGGCTTTGGGCGGGTCAAGGCACAGGGTGAGGGGCTTTTGGGGGTGCTGGAGCGCTGCGCTGCCAACAGACACCCCCGCAGTGACTCCTTGCAGGGAGGAGGCTTCAGCTTTAAGCGACAGGTGGGTTGCCCGCTTGCTTGCTTTTCACTCTCCCTTCCACTGTCAATGCATGAATGGCGACGCGCTGTTGGGGGTGCTGGAGCGCTGTGCGGCTAACAGACACCCTGGTAGTGACTCCGTGAGGGGAGGAAGCTTCAGCTTCTAGCGCCAGGTGGGTTGCCCGCTTGCTCTCTCTCCCTCCCACAACTCTTCACTTCTCAAGCGACAGGTGAGCTGCCTGCTTGCCCGCACTCCCACCGTAAATCTTGTCTTGTCTCTATCCCCTTGGGAGTCTTCTATTTATCCACATACCACATCTCCTATTTACCCTTGGTAGTTGCCATTGTAACCACATCTTCTATTTATCCCCCCTGCACTGCCTCCCTCCTTCCTCTCCCTTTCAGGCCGATACTGATCCTACCGTCGAGGTTCGGCCCATAGCTAACGTGATCCTGGCTCAGTTTGGAGAGGTTCTGGATGGGATGGCAGCCCCGGTTGCTCCACTCAGGGAGCAGGAGCAGCAGCAGCAGCTGGAGGAGGAGGAGCACAAGAGACTCAAAGACACGCTCACTAGGGTTTCTAGAGACGCTGCAATGACAGCAGAGGGACTAGACGTACTAAAGGGGGAGGTGCAGCTGCAGAGGAGGGCAGTGAGGAGGCTGCAGAAGCAGGTGGTACAGCAGGATATGCGAGCGATTGAGCAGGCGAGCGCGCTGCACCAGCAGCTGCTGCTGCAGCAGGAACTAATTCTGCGTCTGTTGAATTCTCAGAGCGACTCGGACGCTGCTTGAGACACTCTGGTGGGTAAATAGATTTGACAGTTTGTCAAGTATGTAGGGGGATGCCTCTTGATAGTTGCTGCTGCTGCAGGAGCTTAATACTCATCTGATCAACTCCAAGAGAGAGTCAGATGCAGCTCTATTCAGTTAAGTCCAGGTTTATAAGTTATGCTGTGTTCAGAGAGAAGTAGCTCCTGTCCATTGAATGCATGAAGCGGCTCTGTTGTTGTATAAGATCCCCTGGCAGAGTCCTGCTGTTGTGCTTGCCAATGTGATTTGATGTGTTGTGCCACGTGTAACGTTACCAGGACCCATGGTCATGCACTCGCCAGCCAAAGAGGATGTCTGTTAGGATTCGGCTGATAGCGTACTTCACTTCGTTGGTAGGCCCGCACCTGTCCCGCACTCTTGCTGATCCCCACAAAGCCCACGTGCTTCCACCACTCCCTTCCTGCTGGGTACCGTATTCTGTGCTATGGTCCTGCCGTTGCGTAAGCTAGAAGTTTTGTTAGGTAGATTATAGTCAAACATCAAGTACAAAACAAAGAGGGCGAATTCCAACATTTGTGTAAACCCCTTCTGCCTGGGACTGACACAAAGTCAGGAATATGCCCAGAAAAGGCAAGCAAATACCAAAGAGGGAGTATGACCGTGAGGAGGAGCCTATGGCAACACCTAAGAGGAAGAATGGCAAAGAGTAACCTATGGACTCCTAAACCTCTGCTGCTGATGCCCCGTTCACAGCGAGATGCTGGGTGTACACTGCTCGTTGTACTTCTTAGCGGAAAACGGGTCCAGCTGCATCGTGCATTCCACATGCACCATAACGCGTGGCGACGAGATGCCCCAGTATTTCACGCGCGCTGCAGTGCCAACCACCACCCGCATTTCCGCGCGCCCATGCAGCAGCGGCGTCGTCAGCAGGCTCGCGGGACTCAGCGTCGCCAGGGGCGCGTCGACAATATCGAGGGGGACAGTCAACTCCGCGCTCCCACCCTTGCTCATGCCCACGACGCCAGGAATGGTCACATTTGTAACATTCATGTCGAAGAATTTTACGTCGATGCTGATGTTTTCCGCTTCCACGTCCCAGTTGTTGGGGTTATACACGAGCGCGGTGACGTTTATTAACGCGGATAGGCCAAGGCGGAAGTTTTCGAGGCCCAGGAACCCGCCGCCGGATTTTGTGATGCCGACGCGGAGGATGTTGATTCGCTCGACCTTCACCTCCGGCTGTTGCTTCGAGACTGTCAGGTATGCGACGAGCCCTGCGACGCCTAATCCGACGATCAAGACGGCGAGGACGATGAGCGACCAGCATGCGACGCGGCAGCAGCAGGTTCGGCGCCGCCTCTGGCGATCCTTCTCGTCCTTGCGAAGTTTTTCTACTTCGTCTGCAGTGCTGGTTACTTCCTTAGGGTTGGCTATGCGCAAATCGGAAGGGTAAATTGCGGTGAACTCCCCCGAATTCTCCTCATCCGCGCTGCCACTTGCGCAAAATGCGTCCTTTGCAAGCGGAGGTGCGCAGCAGAAGAGGGGAAGCGACTTTCCATGCGGCGACGTTGAAACGGGGAACGGGTCATCTGAAGCTAAGAAAGTGGCTTCTCCTGATTCAATGTCTCCGTCAGGTGCGACTTGTGGCGTCGACTTGGAAACCTTCGCAGAATTGTTGTTCATTGCCATGCCTGAAGTCTGTACGGTGAGGAGAGCTGGTCACAGGTGCAGTTGATTTAGAGACGGTTCAGCGAGGTTCAAGGAAGTGAATAGAAATCAGTGTTGAAGGGAGTTGAGCAAATTGTGCAATGGATTTGGAAAGTCGGGTTGCTTCGAATTGGTCTGTTTGCAATGCGCTTGCTCTCGCGTATTTATCGTGCAAATGGGGGCGACAAATGTCAAGCACCGTGGCCCCCCACCCTGGCATTAAAAAACGAGTCGCGCCCAGGGCTATAGCGGCCCGCTGTCCGCGGTTTGGCGAGGAACAGAAGCTTCGTCCCGGTCGGTGGTTGGGGATGCGGACAAACGAGCGAGACAAACCAGGCAGCACGGCTCGGTGAGCCTTTGGTAGCCCTGACCTAAACCGGGCCTAGTTTCCAGATTACGTTCGTCAGGGTACTTGTTGACCCAGACCATGAGATTCGTTACGAGGGAAACCGAGAGACGCTAGCGACCGCAATGGAGCAAACAATTAATAACCAATACCATGCTGTTATGCCCGTTCTTTAGGTGTTGAGCCTGTGTCAAGTCAATCAAACTCAAAAACTCCGTTTTAGAACTCAGTGCCATGCAACCCCAAGGTAGTCCTGCACTTCAGCTCAATTACCGTATGTCCACTCTACGAAGATGCATTAAGATCGTGCTTCCAAAGTCGTGCTTCCAACATAACAACTTAGTAGAGCTCTACATTACTCATAAAGTGCGGGCCATTGTGCCGCACCGTCAGATGTCACGGGTTAAGCGAGTCAAGCGTTGGTTACGTGAATGTCACATGTCAAGTGCCGCCTGTGCTCGATCAAAAAGAGTGGCAAACGACCACAGGGATGCGAACAGTGCCTGCACAGCACAGGAAAACACCACGTGGCGAATGTCAAACAAAACTTCAATGTGCGGATGTCAAGGAAAGAACTTTAAGAAACATATCGTGTGTTGAAGGTTGGTGAACATTCAACGAGGGAGGAGGCTTACATCTGAAGTTGAGGGTTGGGGTTTTGACTCTCCAAGATAGCATGCCAGCTGTCGAAGCGTTGACCTGGTGAGAGAAAAGGCAAGACGTTAAGAAACACAAAAGACATGCACCAACCTCACAAGACTTCAACGCATGGATATAACGAAAATGGATTTATATATGCTTACTGATGACAACAATTTATACAGTGAATACTACACTCCCAACATCCCACCCAACTTGTACAGTAGCGGCTCGTGCTCACCTGCACTCTTCAGCATCATTGGCCAGTTCCTCCCTCTCCTTCCTTGCATTCAATCTGAACTCTGCTAGCACCGCCAGCAGCCCGCCCTGCCTTACCCCCTTCCCCTTCCGCTGCCTCTCCGCCCCACCCTCGCTATCAAGTCCCCCCCCCTGTCCATCCTCCTGTCGCTCCTCCCTTTCCTCAACTTGTTGCTTCTCCGCCTCCTCCCCCTCCTGCAGCCTCGCCTCTTCTGTCTCCTGCTGCAGAAGCCGCACCTCCTCATCCACCAATCGCAGGCCAGTGTCGAGTGCTGACGTGGCATCCGCCACGTCAGCTTGGGACATCCTAACCGCCTCACCAACTGCTCCCAGCTCCACTGTAAGCTTCCCTCTTCCCCGTGCTCCCTCCTCTCCTCCCTTGTTTCTGACTGAACTGCCCATAAGGCTGCTCCCTACTTCCCCTGCTTCCTCCTCTCCCTCATTTGGTCTGGTTGAGTCGCCGCCCCTCGTTATAATCACCACCACGTCGAGGAGAGTTGTTGCACGGGCGATCAGGGGCGGAGGATGGGAGGGGTGGGACTGGTGGGACGGGAATGGGGAAGCTGCGGGAGTGCTGGCGGCGAGGGTTGAGGATGTGGGGAACGGGGAGGAGGGACGAGCGGAGGAGGAGGAAGAGGAGGAGGAGGAGGAAGAGGAGGAAAACGGGGAAGGGGAGGGGGAGGACGAGGAGGAGGAGGAGGAGGAGGTGGATGAGGGGGCATTGGCACGAGTGACAGGGAAGGACTGTGTGCGCGAGAATCGAGAGCCGGGAGGCAGAACCTGGGAGGAGTTTGACTGTTGAGTCAACTCAGAAGCGACCTGGGAGGCGGCGAACAGTGTGTCGAGGCCCTTGGCGCAGTGGGAGGGGGGAGTGACTCGCACTTCTGACAGGCGAGCGAGGGAATCCAGAGAGAACCCGCGGGCTGAACCTGGAATGTAGAGGGTAAGGAGGTGGGGGAGAGAAGGGTGGGAAGGTGGTTGGAGAGTGACGCATGTGAAGGTTTTTATAAGAGGAGCTTATGAGTGCTGGTTTTGGTTGCACCGGTTCTGCTACTTTCCTTTTCCCTGCCTGCCATTCCCACCCCTTGCCATTTACCCCCAATGCTTCCCGTACTAGACCTATGGTCCCATCCCACCCCTCTCAAGCCCTTCCCAACCCTCTCGACACTGTCTCACCCCTCTCAACCGCAACTCACCCCTTGCGCTGCCTCGATTGAGCTCGTTCCCCACTTCCAGCGCCGCTGCCAGTGCTGCCCGGAGAACCTTGCTGCTGCGGATCGCTCGGGCAGCAGAACAGAAAACTTTTATGACTGCCCGAGCATCGTTGACAATGGTGTGGAAATGTCGCACAAACATAAGCGCCTCGATTTTCCTCCTCATTCTAGGGATCAAGGATATGGACCAGAGGAAACGCTCAGGTGCACACATGGCACCTGAAGCAGCACCTGAGACTGCTCTAAACTTCGCCGCCTCCTCCTCTGTTGGAATCACCTGAAGCAGCAGGCCCAGGCGGTCAGGTGGCAGCACGTGCTTGGGATCTCCTGCGAGGATCAAATCCCGGATTCGATTCTCAGGCATGCGGAATTGAGTGAGCATGATGGCTACGTTGTTAGCGCGAGCCAAACCAACCACTTGTAACTCATCCTTCCCTAATCCCTTCCTCCCCCCTGACCCTCCCCCTTCCCCTTGCACTCCTCCTCCTGCCTTCGACTTCCCCCCTGGCTTTGTTGCTTTCACCTGGAAAAGCACCCGGATGGCTCGTCTCATGTCATCTGGTAGTGTCACCTTCGATACAAGAACACTACTGCTACTTCCTTGGCTTTCCCCATCCCCTACTGTCTCTTCTCTCTCCTTTTTACCCGCACCCTCTCTCTCTATCTCCTCCCATACTGTCCCCTTCACATTAGTCACTTTTGACCAGTGTAAAGGGCGGGCTGGGGGGAAAAGGTCCCCTTCCCCGTCCGCCCTTTCCCCCTCCCCTTCCCCCTGCTGTCCCCCCATCCCAGGCGCAGCCAGTTTGCCTGAGGCTAGGCGGATAGGGGGAGGGGGAGGGGGGGGACGGCCGGAGGGTGGGGGAGGGGGAGGCGGAGGGGCGATTGGGGGACGAGAGGGGACTTGGGTAGGTTGAATGGGTGTGGTTTTGAGGGGGAGTGAGGAGGGAGGAGGAGGATGTGTCTCTGCTGCTGCTCCTGCTGCTGCTCTAGATGGTGATGATGGTAATGTTGCTGATTCTGCTGCTGCTGATGCCGCCGCTGCTGCTGCTGCTGCTGCTGCTGTCGAGGGTGATAATGAGAACGGTTCAGGTGGAGAAGCAATTGGTTCTGTTCCTCTTGTCATGTGGCCAGCAGGACGAGTGGCACTTGCTCTCAAGCGATCCCCTTTTGCTTCACCCGCCCCTGCTCTCCACTCTCCTCCTGCGTCTCTCACCTCCCTCACTACCCCCACATCCTCACTTCCCATGCCCTTGCCTTCCCACTTTCCCCCCATCGCATCCCCACTACCCATGCCCTCCCAATCCCCTCCCATACCTTCCGTCCCCTCCCCACCTATAGCGCTCACATCGACTCCCCAATTCCCCATGCTCTGCCTCTCTTCCCCCATCCCCTCCGCACCCCCCATGCTCCCCTCCCCCCTCATCCCCCCTGCAAACCCCATTGTCCCCTTCCCCCCCATACTCCCTTCCTGCCCCATCCTTTCTGCACCCCCCACCATGCTCTCCTCACCCACGGCTCTCCCCTTCACACTCCCACCCCCAATGCTGTGCCTCTCCCCCTCTTGCTCAAAGCTCACACCCTTGCTGTGCGGGTCAACCCCCTTCAATCCCCCACCCGCCACGCTATGCCGTTCGCCCCCCCTTGACCCCCCAGGCCCCATGCCATGCCGTTCAATCCCCTTCAGCCCCGCACCGCCCATGCTATGGCGTGAGCCGGTGGAGAGAGACATGCGAATGAGGAGATCAGCAAGAGAGTCGAGCTCCTGTGACGGCTGGCTTGCGGAGGAGAGAGGAGCAGCAGAGGAGGAATGGGACAGGCTGAAATCTTCGGAAAGGGATGCAAGTTGGGGGAGGGGTGAGTGGGGAAGGGGTGAGTGCGGGGAGGGCGGCATGTGAGGCGTTGTGGGAGTGGGAGGGAACTCGCACCGAGAGGACATCACTTCAGGTTCAGGCAACCTGAACGCCGTTCCGGGTGGCATGGATGCCACGCCGGGCGGCATGGGCGGCACAGACAGCATGTCTGGGTGGCTTGGCTGTCCTGTGTGGCGCAGGAGCGGGTGTGCCTGCACCTCAGTCACCAGGCTGCGAGCCAGGCTCCTCCTCTCGTCCCCCAGTCCACCCCTCCGGTCCACCACCCTGCCCCTCCCATCTCCTGCTTCTGCTGTGAGAACACTCTGAGTAATCTCCGGTTTTAAATGCTCCTGCTGATCCGATGTGAAAGTGCTGCTGCCCCTCCCGTTCACCCCTTCCTCTCCCTCCCGCCCACTCCTCTCTTCCTCTGCTCTCCCCAGCCTCGTCTCTTCCCTTCCTTGAGCCATCCGCTGCTTCCTAGAAGCTTCCACAAAGTCGTCCCGGTACGCCGCCAGCAGCTGCTGCCACGTCAGCATCGTGCCAGCTGGCGCGCCGTCAGGGTGCGCGTCGTCGGCCAATGGCGCGCCACCGCGTGGCTGCGGCATATCTATAAGCACGTCGATGAAGAAATCCGCAGGTACTTGGATGTCCCCCCCGTATGCACAGTCAAGCTGGTTCGGGGAAAGGAGGAGGAGGGGGAGAAGGGAAAGAGAAGGCAGGGTCTGCTTGCTAGGGTCTGCTTGCTAGGGTCTGCTTGCTAGGGTCTGCTTGCTAGGGTCTGCTTGCTAGGGTCTGCTTGCTAGGGTCTGCTTGCTAGGGTCTGCTTGCTAGGGTCTGCTTGCTAGGGTCTGCTTGCTAGGGTCTGCTTGCTAGGGTCTGCTTGCTAGGGTCTGCTTGCTAGGGTCTGCTTGCTAGGGTCTGCTTGCTAGGGTCTGCTTGCTAGGGTCTGCTTGCTAGGGTCTGCAGTCACTTGGATGTCTCCCCCCATAGGCACAGTCGAGTTGACGAGCGAGGGAGGGGAAAGGGAAGCGGATGTGCAGGGGGGGAACAAGGAAAAGGGGGACGTGGTACCCCTTTGAGTACACCAATGAAGAACAACCGAAGGCACTTGGATGTCTCCCCCGTAGGCACAGTCGAGTTGGTGGGGTGGTAGAAAAGGGGGTGAACGGAGGGGAGAAAACGTGAGGCAGTAGAGGAGGAGCTGGGTAGTTGGGTACTAAGAGGGGAAATCGGTGGGTACTTGCCCCCCCCCCCCCATATGTGCAGTCGAGCAGATCGGGTGGTGGGAAAAAAGGAGAAGGGTGGAGGGGATAGTGATGGGAAGAGGAGGTGTGTGTACGAACCTAACTAGAATACTACAAGGGAGAAGGGCGGAGGTGAATTCACGCCCTGCCTTACCTCATGTAGGGCTATTCACGTGTTAATCCGTAAAAGGTTATTCAGGTGAGACCGGCGCTTAGGGCGGTACAGGGGAAGGCGTTACCTCGTGAAGGGTTATTCGGGTGAGGCCGATGCGTAGGAACGCCGAGTGGAAGGCGAAGACAAACACAGGCTCGCTCTCGTCCCTGCTGCTGGTGCCTGGCGGGTAGTACGGGGTGAGGCGATGGGGGTTGAGAGAGAAAAAGCCTGGGTAATGTTGAGTCAACTCAGAAAGACCAAGACAAACACAGGCTCGCTCTCGTCCCTGCTGCTGGTGCCTGGCGGGTAGTACGGGGTGAGGCGATGCGGGTTGAGAGAGAAAAAGCCTGGGTTATGTTGAGTCAACTCAGAAAGACCAAGACAAACACAGGCTCGCTCTCGTCCCTGCTGCTGGTGCCTGGCGGGTAGGGAGATGCGGAATGGAGAGTGCGAATGAACAAAAATTGAGATGAATCAAATGGCAACGGCAAGCACGAGACTGCACTCTTTCTCCCTGCTGCTGGTACTTGGGAGGTACCGAGATGAGCTGTCTACCTGAGCGATTTTTAAATTTTCACAGAAATCGCTCACGAGGTACGGAGTTGCGGCGTCTATTTTTGAGACGCCTCAAAAATTGGCTGCTGGTGGTTCTTGGGAGGTACAGAGATGAGGCGTGAGCGGTAGAGAGTGAAAGCGTGAGGGGGTTCTGACACAGGGTATGGGACAGAGAATTCAATACGTCGTATGGAGGAGTGCCCTTTGCACACAGTCATCCTGCCTAGACGCAAATTCGACCTACCTATGCAAATTCGACCTACCTAGATTCCGTCTTGTTGCACATGCCAATGTCACAGTGCGGAACCTTTTTCTCAAGATATTATCTGTCCATATGCTCATTGGCTAGATGCTACCTGTCCAGACGCTACCTGTCCAGATGCCACCCCCCCAGGTGCAACCTGCCCATATATCACCTGTCCAGTGATGCACGGCGAACGCACAGTCGCCCCACAAGGGGGCGTTGACCTCGAAGGGCACCATCCAGGCTGCCCCCGTGGGGAAGGAGGGCGGCACCTGGCGGTACGCAGGTGGGGAGGGTGGGGAGTGGGGAAGGGGGGAGGCACAGTCAGTCGCCCCACACAGGGACGTGGACCTCAAAGGGAACCATCCACGCTGACCCGTGGGGAAGGAGGGTGGCACCTGGCGGTTGGTGGTGGGGAGTGGGGAAGGGGGGAATGGGGGCATGGGGAAGGGGGGAATGGGGGCATGGGGAAGGGGGGAATGGGGGCATGGGGAAGGGGGGAATGGGGGCATGGGGAAGGGGGAGAGGCATAACCAGTCGCCCCACACAGGGGAGTTGACCTCCAAGGGCGCCATCCACGCTGAACCCGTGGGGAAGGAGGGCGGCACCTGAAGGTTGGGGGCAGGGAGAGGGCGACGGGAGGAGATCGGGGGAAGAGCAGGAGAGATTGTAACGAGGAATAGAGGGGAGGGGAGGAGGGAAGAGGAGAGGAGAGAGAGGAGAGGAGAGAGAGGAGAGGAGAGGGAGGAGAGGAGAGGAGAGGAGAGGTGAGGAGAGGAAGGATAGCAAAGACAGGGTCTTTTCCCCCATCTACCCCTTTTTCTCCCCCCATCTGCTACCTCTGCCCCCTCTCACCCCACTTTCTCCCTCTTCCCCCCTCTTTCCCCACGCCTCACCTCCCCCACGCCTCACCTCCCCCACGCCTCACCTCCCCCACGCTTCACCTCCCCCACGCCTCACCTCCCCAGGCAAGACACTGCTGCTCACTTCTGCTCCCCTCCGAAACACCTGCCACAGCCACGAAGAAACACCAGTTAGCAGCACATGGCACGGCATACCAGCATACATGCATGCATGTGAACGGGCGATGCATGCATGTGAGAGTGGGATGCATGCATGTGAATAGCCTGCTTGACAAGAGTATATTGCACCATGATGCATATTCAAGTGTGTACACATCACTGCACAGCACACACCCTCCCCATCACTACACACTCTCGCTGCTGCCGGCCACGAGAGACAACTGCTGCCGACCCACCTTAAGATACGGACGAAAGACGCCAGCCCCATCGATGGATGGGCATGCGCTGAGGATAAGCTTCCGAAGAATTGGGGCGGCGGGGGGCAGAGAGGCGAGTGATGGCTGGCAGGGGAAGGAAAAGGGGAGAGAGAGGGGGGAGGGGAGAGAGAGGGGGGAGGGGAGAGAGAGGGGGAAGTGGGGTGGGATGGGGAACTGATTGTTGAGTGGGCTGAGCAGGAGAAAACAGGGTGGGGAGAGAGGAAGACGAAGGGGGGGAGGGAATACTAGGGGAAAGGGAGGACGAGGGTTGGGAAGGGTGATTGGGCGGGGGCAGGAGAGGTTGGGGGTAAGGGAAGACGACTGAAGTGCAGGAACGATGCTTCTTGGTCATGCTGGAACGATGCTTCTTGGTCATGCTGGAACGATGCTTCTTGGTCATGCTGGAACGATGCTTCTTGGTCATGCTGGAACGATGCTTCTTGGTCATGCTGTCCGAACGTGGGTCAGCACAACACCCTGAGCACCCAGAAATACATCCATAGCACCGCACCTCATCCCACCTCACCCACCTCATCCCCTCGCCCTGCCTTCACAAACTCATCCACGTAGCTGCAGTATTGCTGCTGCCCCGTGCTGCCTTTCCAGGGTCAGTGCAGCACCCACACCCGCCCATACACACACAGCCACACAGCACCGCACACCACCGCACAACACCGCACTAAACCGAATAGCACCCACCTCATCCCCTCGCCCTGCCTTCACAAACTCGTCCACGTAGGTGCAGTAGCGCTGCTGACCCATGCTGCCCCTCTGCCCTCCCCCCACCACCTCCCCCCACTCCTCCCTCTGCTGCCCCAGCGCCCCATTCCCCCCAAGCTCCCCCTGTCCCCCATGCTCCCCCTTCCCCTCCCCCAGCTCTTCGGGGGGGAGGGGGTGCCACGTGGCGAGTTCTGGTTGGCCGAGGGGTTGGGGGAGAGAAGCAAGGGCTTGCCACGCACTGGGAAACTCTGCGCTGGTTGAGGGAGGATTAAGGGGGGGGGTGTGGGGTGGAGGGAAGGGGGAGGAGAGGAAGTGGGGAGAGGTGGAGGGGGAGGGGGATTGGGACAGGAAGGGTGGGAGGATGAGGAGGAGAGGAAAGCAAGGGCATTCCACGCACTGAAAACTCTGCGCTGATTGGAGGGGAATTGGGGGGGGGGGGGGGGGGGGGGGGGAAGGGATAACGAACTGGGGAGGGGGACGAGGGGGGGCGGATGATGATGGGAGAGGATGGGGGAGGATGGAGGAGGAGAAGGGGGGGGAGAAAGGGCAAGGATGGGGGAAGGTAAGAGACGGCAGCTGTGGAGGGGAAAGGGGAGGCGGACGAAGGGGGCCCGTGGGTGGTTGGGGTGGGGGAGGGTGAAGGGAACAGGGGACTAAGAAGCATTGTCAGGAATATCAGCATTGCAAGAGGGGGATGAGCGGAGAGAGGAGCGAGGAGCGAGGAGCAAGGAGCGAGGAGCGAGGAGCAAGGAGCGAGGAGCGAGGAGCGAGGAGCAAGGGGAGAGAGGAGCGTATAGGAAGGATACAACAACGGATCGGAGAGGGGGGGGAGAGTAAGGTGAGGCGAGGGCATGTGTGAGTGAGGCAGCACCTCGTTACAGTGTCACACCTCGTTACAGTGTCACACCTGGTTACAGTGTCACGCAGTACTGGTGAGAAGGACGAGAGTACCTGTGGGAGAGGTAGCACGCAGCAACGAAGCGGAGGAAGCATGCTCCCCCCGCATTGCTGGGGCTGCGTGTGTGCAGCACTGCCACATGGTCGTCGTCTGCTGCGAGCCTGGGAGGGGGATCGAGAGACAAGAGGACCAAAAGCAGACAGAGGAAGATTGAGGCTGTTGGGGCTGCACACGTGTGCAGCACTGCCACGTGGTCGTCGTCTGCTGAGAGCCTGGGAAGGGGAGGGGAGGAGAGAGAGTGGGAGTGGAAGGAAGAGGGAAGAAAAAGAGAGATTGACGGAGTTGACTTCACTGTTGGTCGTCATCTGCTCGGTGATTTTTGAATCAGACTCAAAAGTCACTTCAAACCTTTGTCACACACCTCATCAGCTGTCTCGGGTTCCGGCGCAAGCAAATATACATACATACATACATATATATATAACACTCATATATATAAATATATATAAATATATATAACTGTAAGGAAATTCCCTTTTCCTTACTTCGCGTCCCTGCTCAACGCGTACGTCACTGTAGCACCTCAGTCAGCACCGTTACCACTCGCGACCATCGCATCATTCATTATCCCGCCCTTTTCGCACATCGCATCCCGACCTCACGGCTCAGCTGGTAACCCGCGCTCCGGGCCTACGCTTCGACACTTTCCCAACCTCAGTCCCAGGCTCGTCGCGCGACAACCACAGTCCATTACCGTTACCACTATTGTTTCGCTATATAATCCTTCGCTCATGCCTTCGCTCATTGTACTTTTTGCTTCGATAGTGCAATTCTCGTTCGTTCACTCAATTGCACTCGTAACACTTGGTAATCAGAGCCTACGATCTCATCTCGGACCGCATCCACACCTTCGCTTCCCACTATCTCAATTTTTGGGGGGGTAGACGTCTCTCAGCGACACAGCACCGCCGCTCGTAGTGCTCTCTCGCAAGCACGCACGGCCACGACCGAGGCTCTCGCTGAGCTTGCCCGACACCCCCGCCATGGCCGACCTCAATCTCGCCATGTTGACGCAGGAGCAACTCGATCGTCTCGTGCGACAATTGGAGGATTCGGCGCTTGAAATCGCGACGCTCACGGCGGAACGTGACTCCGCCCGTCAACAGTCAACGGTGAATGCTCCGACAACATCCCACGCACCTACCAATGTTTCTGTACATTCGGAGGAGCCGATTGTCATCTCATCCGGCACACCAACGCAACACAACAGCACGGGACAGCGCTCAGGCGCAGCCAGTGACGGCGCAGCCCAACCGATGTCCGGCATGGGAGGGAACAGGAGCACGCTAAGCCCACGGGAGCCCCGAGAAGCCCGTCGGCACGTGGAGTTTGCGGCGACAAGTGGTGAAAACGCCATGATGGCCCCAATGCCACTCAAGCCGCAACGCCCGCCCTGCTTCGACCCAAGCCAACGCGGCGGCCCGACAGTTCAATCGTGGGTCTTCACGATGAATGTGTTTTTCGACGCCAACTACGTCGAGTCGGACGCCGCCAAGATTCGGTATGCGGTTTCACTACTCAGGGGCCCCGCCATGGACTGGTGGCGAGTCATCGTGACGTCGCCACGCGCCTACGAGCCACCGTCGCACGAGGAAGGGCCCTCGGGTCCAGCTGTCACCTGGAGTTCGTTCTGCGAAACAGCCCAATACAGCACGTGGGATGCGTGGTGCGCAGGGCTTCGGGCGCGTTTTGAGCCGATCGCGGCTTCGATTTCGGCGCGTCAGAAACTGCGCACTTGGCGCCAGCTCGAGTCGGTTCAAGACTACACCAGCGGTTTTCTCGCACTTTGCGAACAGGTCGGCTACATGCACGAGGCGGAGCGGGTGGACCGTTACGTCGGAGGGCTGAAGCCGGACATATCGCACGAGATAATGCTACGCGGGCTATCGAATTTCAACGAAATCCTCGCGCTCGCCGAGAAAATCGATATCCTACGCCGACCGAGACCGGGGTCCTATTTCGGACATCGCCCTCGGGGACCGATCGAGCACGCCACTGTACATGCCGTCGCAACGAATGCAGCTGCCACGCCATTTAGAGGGCGCTGCTTTGCTTGCAACCGGCCGGGCCATCGCAAGAGCGAATGTCCAGAGGAGCTGAGGCGTCGAGGAGCAGAGCAGGGGAGGGAGTCTCAGAGGCAGGGAAACGCCAGCAGTCAGTAGAAGTTGGGCCAACTACTGACGAGACTTCCTGCTCGCCCAACCACACCGACCCTCACCGAGTCACAGTACCGATTCACGCCATCGATCGGGCTCGGATGAATAAGGAGGGTACAGCGACGGATTGTCCGGTACTGATCTACGGGAAAATACAGGGAGCAGCAGTGAAAATCTTCATTGACGGAGGAGCAAGTCACAGCTTAGTTAATACTGCAACCGCACGGAAATTACAGTTAATACTTAACCGATGTTTACCTGAGATAGATGCACGCTTAGTCGACGGCACGCCATTGGCCATACGAGAAAAAGTGGAGCGAGTAAAAGTCCGCTGCGGGGGAAACTTCGGGTTTACACAGGAAATGCTCGCAACGACGCTGGATGGGCACGACAATTTACTGGGACGTGATTGGCTGCGACGGTACAACCCACGGATCGACTGGACGACGGGGAGCTGCACAGTGCGAAGTAGCGGTAACTGGGTCGTCCTACCTCGCTGGCGGCCACCCGAATCTTCGACAGTCCAGGTCAACGCCATCACGATGAAACGGGCTGTCGCTGCTGGAGCTGACGTGTACGCAGTGGATATCGCAGTGGTAGAAAAAGACAAGCAGCAGAATGATTTAAAGAAACTACTAGCAGCCGTACCGACCGAATTACAGGCACTACTGAAACGGTTCCCGGGGATATTTCCGGATGATTTACCACAGGGACTGCCACCTCAGCGAGCGCACGACCATAGGATCGAGTTAGAACCGGGGGCACAGCCAACAGTACAGCGGCAATTTCGACTGACACAGCCCGAGCTCGACGAGTTAAGGAAGCAGTTAGATTACCTGTTAGAGAAGCAGTTTATTCGACCAAGCTCGTCACCGTTCGCCGCACCCATACTGTTCACACCGAAAAAAGACGGAGGTTTTCGCATGTGCACCGACTACCGAGCGCTTAACCGGGTAACAGTCAAATCGCGATACCCCATCCCCCGCGCCGACGAACTGATTGACCAACTGCGAACAGCACGTGTCTTTTCGAAAATAGATTTACGGGGAGGTTACCATCAGATTCGGGTCGAACCATCGGACTGCGCAAAAACAGCATTTAGGACTAGGTACGGGTCATTCGAGTATACAGTAATGCCCTTCGGGTTGACGAACGCGCCTGCGACTTTTCAGATGACCATGAACGAGGCGTTTAGACCACTTTTAGATAAATGCGTGATCGTTTACCTCGACGATATCCTCGTTTACAGTCGGGATAAGCAGCAACACTTAGCAGATCTTGAAGCAGTTTTTAAGGTTTTAGAGGAACATCGGCTGCTCACCAAGGGCTCCAAGTGCGAGTTTTTTAGGGATAGGCTAGAGTTTTTAGGTCACGTAATTTCAGAGGCTGGGGTTGAGATTGACCCAAAGAAGCTGGATACGGTAAAAGTGTGGCGCCCCCCGACGAACATCACGGAACTGCAGAGTTTTTTAGAGTTTGTTAATTACGTTCGACGGTTCGTGCCCGACATGGCACGTTTAACAGCCCCACTAACTGATTTACTGCGTAAGGGGGTCGCTTTTACGTAGGGGGAGAAAGAGCATGCTGCCTTCTCTGCCCTAAAAAACGTTCTCTGTTCACCACCCGTTCTACGTATCGCTGATCCCCACCGCCCTTTCGAAGTGGTTACCGACGCAAGTGACATCGCCATCGGAGCTGTACTGTTACAGGACTTCGGCAACGGCCTCCAACCCATCGCCTACGAATCACGCAAACTACATCCGCCTGAGCGAAATTACCCGATACACGACCGCGAAATGCTCGCGATCGTGCATGCATTCAAAGTTTGGCGCTGCTACTTGACCGGCGCAGACGTGACACTACGGACAGACCACCGATCTCTACAGTACCTCCGCGCACAGCCCCACCTCAACCCACGACAGATTCGATGGCTCGATTTCCTCGAGTCGAATTTTCACTATACGGTCACATACAAAAAAGGAGCATCGAATATCGCCGACGCACTGACCCGCCCCACTGCCCAGATCCACGCGATACTACTCGCCCAGACCAGCCCACTGCTGACAGGCCTATTTACCCACGGATATCAAACAGACCCGTTCTATACAGGAGGCAACTCACAGCAATTCGCAGCGGCAAAAGGAGTCTATTACGTAAAAACTGGAACCGACCGCATCTGGGTACCGGGATACACGCTACTGCGGGAACTACTATTACAGGAAGCACACGACGGAGTTACCTCGGGACATTTCGGGGTAGAAAAAACACGGCAGCAGCTGCAGCGGTACTACTACTGGCCAGAAATGTTGACCGATGTGCAACGACACGTGGCATCGTGTCCCACTTGCCAGCTCATGAAGTCAAGCAGGAAGCGACCAGCGGGGCAATTACAACCCATCCCGCCTCCAGAGCGTGCTTGGCAGCAGGTGACGATGGACTTCGTCACGGGGTTACCTGCTGGGGCGAGTGGGAATGACGCGATCCTGGTCGTCGTCGATCGACTAACGAAAATGGCTCATTTCGCAGCATGCAGGAAATCCATCACAGCCGAAGAAACCGCCCGACTCTTCATCTCCACTGTCGTACGACTGCACGGGATACCCGCGTCGATCATCAGCGACAGGGACACGAAATTTACCAGCAACTTCTGGCGGAACCTGTGGCAGCAGTTCGGCACGCGCTTACAGTTCAGTTCATCCTATCACCCCGAAACCGACGGACAGACGGAACGGACAAATCAGACCATGGAGCAGCTGATTCGAGCCACGTGCGACGACCCGAATACGTGGGAACAGCAGCTGCCACTCATCGAGTTCGCATACAATAACGCACCATCAGCCACGACGCAACAGTCGCCGTTTTATTTGAATTACGGATAGGACCCAATAGTACCCATGACACCGAATCCCGACAACCCCGTCCCGCGAGCACAACAGTTCGCCGAGATTCTGCAAGCAACACGGACCAGGGCAGCAGAAGCAATCAAAAAATCAAACATCATCGCTAAACGTAACGCCGATCGACATCGCAGACCCGTTACTTATCAGCCCGACGACCTCGTGTTACTCGACACTCAGAACCTTCGCCTGCCCATCACTCCAAAACTTCGCCCCCGATATTGTGGGCCATTTCGCATCAGCCACATGATCACACCAGTCACCGCCCACCTCCTCCTCCCTGCTGACTGGTACGTCAGCCCGTCATTCCACG